TTACGCAATCGCTTAAAGAGAATAGCCCATCGCAATGCGATGTTGATACGCAAAAACAATTTGCCTGTAATTTTTTCGACTCGTTATCCCTGCGGAAAATCGGCGACCCTCATTACGTATACCGCACGTAGTCTATTATACGTACTGATCCGCGCACTTAATTCAAAGTACACTTTATTTAAATCATCCGTCTAATTTGTCGGTGATTATACATGAGCCGAAGAAGAGAGTTGTAGGAAGCCGAGTAGTTGCTTTATTTGTATTATTAATTTTCTCGCTTATCCGATTGTAGCGTGAACTTTGACAGAGCAGCTCTTGTGTCACGAGCAACCTTATAATACCGGTGCCTCGGTGTATTTAAGCACCATCGAGGTCGTTATACTCGAAAGTATCGAAGCAACGTCAATGGCGCGCGACATTTATGCGGGGACTCGAGCATGTGTCGAAAGGTCCTAATAAAAAAGTCATTCACCTTCCATAATGTCTCACGTTCTCCCATTCAATGTCACACATAATTCAAATAAAAACAACATAACTACAATGTAGTACATCAAGTGGTATTACAAGCGGTCGTTTGATACCTATATATTCAATAAATACCTATAATACGCGTAATTTAAATTTGCGATTCATTTATCGAAGTCATTACCAAATTTTCACCTGTACTTTCGCTTCGAGTCACAATACGCGTACGGCTTACAATGATAATAAATAAATATAGAGCAGCGAAGCTTACAAGTACGCGATTACGTGAGCTGTTATAGCTCGTCTCGGCATTTTTTTCCCTCAATCTGTCATTCCGACGAGTACACGAATTCATATACGCGCGCGCGGGCGGCAACGTGTACCATAGCAAGTGCTATATACGCAATTCGCAGGGAAACGAGCCCACGCGCGCAGTGCCGAGCGTAGAGATTCAACGCCGCTCGACGCGAGTCGAGTATTGTTCGTATATAGAGGCCCATTACACACACTCGCGAGGCGCTCTATATATGAGAGCGTCTGCTGCTGTACGTGTGTATATCCTCTCAAAATGTATACATGCGCTCATTACGTTGCTTGAATACATATTCTTATAATATGTATGAAGGTACATATAACGCGGATATAATGCGTCGTGTGTGGCGCAAAAGCCCAGCGCGCCAAAACTGCCCGCGATCTCGAGCTCGTCGTCGTTTTCAAAGTGATAATAGCGACGCGATATATATCGTATATAATGTATATAATAACGTCGGCGGTCGAACGTGCGCCCAGTCTTTTATGCTCGACATACATGTAAGAGCTTTTTAAACGCGCGCGCCCGATTGACCATTTACGCGTAGGCATTTCCAACTATTTCTCGCTCTCTGTCTCGGGAGCTTAGCTCCTTTTTGCGCCTCTGTATGGTCGGTATAATAATCTCGATTATATAAGGGCAATTGCGAATGCGGTGTCTGTGTTTGTTGTTGTGCTATACGCGCCTGGATGTTGTGTATACAAACCTTCGCGCGCAATCGCAGCTTTATTAAATCGAATGAATCGCGCGTTTATGCGGTTACATGCGCGTATATGCGGCCTATAGAAGTACGTAAACACGCGCAGAAACTCGAGTGCCGCGGCGTACGCGTAATACCAGCGTCGACGGCACCGCGACGGAGCCGAGTCTGGCCACTATCTACTGCGTAATTTGCATAAGACATTTTTCTCCGATGCGTACGTACGCGCAGCACGCGGTCTATGCAATGTGTAGTGTTTATCTTTCTCTTTCTCCTTGTCCGACAGCGAGAGAAGAATCGGCGTAGGCTCGAGTACGAGATAGCGGAAAAAAGTGAATATAAGCCGACCTGTCAGAAATTCTCAACATTTCATGTTCATTAGTTTATGATCACAAACACTTCAAAAATAGATTGGCTAAAATTTGAACGCTTTTACTATACTTATACAATTATTTGGACTTTGCCACTTGCAGATTTATAGATAAAGGTACTTGCCATCTAGTGGTGTAGGCTTGAAGTATAAGGAATATAATACATGGTGTACTCAAAGTGGTTGAAAAATAATAATTTTTCTTTTTCTTTTTTTTCAAACAATTAACTCGTTACTTTTAAGTAATCTAAAATGCACTCAATAATTATAACCAACAATCCAAAATGGTCCAAATGATGGAGAGAAGGCGTATTGGGAAAATTGCTATGTGTCACTGGAAAAGATGCTTTTGAGCCACACTATCGCGTTTTTCTATTCGAAAATATAGTAATTTTTTCTATAGTTATAACAATTTTGCTAATAGAGTACAGTAAAAATGACTATATTTTCGAATAGAAAAACACGATAGTGCGGCTCGGAGGCACCTTTCCCAGTGAGCATAGCAATTATCACTATAGGTCTTTTATTTGTGTGAATTTAAAAAAAATTATAATTAATGCTTTTTGGTCATCGGTTCATTATTAATATGGAGCATTTCTACCGGAGTGAGTGTAAATGTATTTTTTATCGAATATCGCTGTTGATTACGCATCCGCGAACGTGGGTGTTTACACGAGTATGCGAATGAGATATTGAGATATTATACACGACGGAGCGAGTAGAAAACGCCGAAAGTGAGATATCGACGCCACGAGGAGAGCCGATCTCGATATACGATCGGCAGCTACAGAGTGTGCAGCTGTGCCGATTTTTTTTTTTATATGCAGCTCAGCGCGTCGAGATCGTCGGGGAGTTTCGCACGATCGGAACTGATTCGTCCGAAAATGTTATACGTGCTTATTATAGACGACTCAATCGGCCGTCGGGATCGATACTTGTGTGTGTGTGTGTGTGTAAGTGTGTGTGAGTGCGTCTGCGTACATGGATGTATATATCGATCGATCTGCCTTAGTCGTTCGTTCGTTCGTTCGCTCGTTGGTGCGCGCGGAAAGAAAGTGCGACTCGGCGAATTGGCGATTCATCGCCGCATATAGATACATACAAAATATACACTTTCCTTGCGCAATTCGGTGGTAGCTGTGTGTGCGCGCGCGCCAAGACAAAAGAGAGCCAAGAGAAAAGGTGTATACACGGCGCATCGAGCCCGAGGATTCACGAAAATTTTTTAATGGAAAGTTTTTTGCGCTCGCGACTCGATGTGCCCGTCTCGAGAGAGCGCGACTACCGCGTGTATATAAGTCACTTGCTGAATAAACAGCACGAGGATCGATGTGTTTGTGTACGAATATAACGAGCGCGCGTCGAGGAATGCCAATGGAATAGCTCGTTTTGTCTCTTTACGCGGATATCATACTTCCGATATGTTGTCGAATTAAAAAAATATAAATGCGATAACGATAAATACAAGAGCGGACCGTGTCTGGTCACACGCCGGTTATTATATACGGGCAAAAATACTCCTCGCCCACACGATTTAATCGCATCCCCGGAACGTCACATAAATTATATCGAAATTTCGACATGAGGCGTACGAGCAAAATACAGAGCTGGGGCCGAGCGACATTTGCGCGGGCGCGGAAACGCTCATTGCCAAACGTAAAAGGAAATAATCTTTGGCTCGGAAATCTCTTGCGTTACGTACGTATATGTACACCGGCGACGTGTGTAGCAGCGGCTTCGTTACAATGTCGTGCATTCAAAAATGTATTCACATTTTCCACGCTCCGCTCTTATAATAACATACCGTATACGTATGCTGCACAACGACAACGACGACGACGACGACGACGTGAGATGAAAGTATCGTAATCGCGACCGACTCTGCTGCAGAGTGTGTAACATTTATATTATACTGTACATCGTGTATTATGCATATGAGCGATTCCATACTTTACCTGACAAATTTCTGACTAAAAATGAATCTAATTTAATTTTTTCATTGGACGCTTATAGAGAAATTCGTGAAAAATCAAAATTTTAACAAGTATTTTTTAATGCCTGTTTCTATATCTTTTGACGTTGTAGTGTTCGTCTGTCTTCATTCTCTTCTCGACTTTTTTACGTGAAAAATCATATATCATTCGCATTAATCATATCCAAACGGTACTGCCCGACGAAATTATTGTACTTATTGCAACGGGTGTGAACATTTTTTTTCTGAAAAATGAGGGGTTGAAGCACGAGCCGAAAGCGAGCGCTGTCACAAGTTTTGCTTACAATCTTATTTTACACATAAAAAGCAGCAAAAATTTTCTTCAATTATTAATATTAATTAAAAAACGTAAGAGTTAAAACCTTCAATCCGGCCTTCGAAATGAGTGTCTAGATACTGCTGATCATAAATTTTAGTCATTTAAAATTAGAGAAAATATTTAAATACCTAACAAACGAAATACTTTAGGGCGTAGGTAATGCGAGCCACTTGAAAATCATGTTTCTTGCTTTTAAATTATGTTGTTTTTTTTTTTTTTTTTGAAGGTTCAAATAAAATTTAAGAAAATAGAATCTATATTTTTTCTTTTTAAAAAATAATAAACTTTTGGGGAAAAAATGTTTTAACAATTATACAGTATTAATGTATATTTAAAATTGGCGAATATATAAAATATATTATAAAAAAATGATTTAGAAAATTTTGATAATTATAAGCCTTTCTTTAAAATTGGTCAAGTATTTAAAATAATGTATTTCCCTACTCACGTTCGATAGTTTGATGATGCAACAAATAAAATACTTCAAGATAAAAGTATTCTAAAATTAACTTCTAGTATTAAATAGTAATCTTCATAGTTTCTCATCTGCGAAAATATTTTGTGGGAGAGTGAGAAAATTGGGCACTTGTCTGTACAAATCATCGCTTTTGTCCAATAGGTTATAAATTGGAATTGTATGGACTGTTTCTTCGGGTTTCCTCGGATTCCATGAATTTTCAGATTTTTTTTCACACTTTTTGCGTGTGTAATCTTTACAATATTCGAGAACTAGCTCTAGATCGGAGAGTACACTCGACTTTGGTACAAATTTCTCCTCGCATTTTTCGAGTACGTATTCTTCGCGACCCTCGTGTACTGATTTTTGGTGTGTTCTCAAATTACTTTCAAGCCCAAATATCCTCTCGCAATTGTTGCATGCATAGTTTTTTCGACTTTCGTGAGATTCTTGTTGGTGCCAAAGCAAATGCACTTTTTGCTCAAATTTCTGCTTGCCATTGTCGCATGCAAAGTCTTTGCAACTTTCGTGAAATGTCTTTAGATGGGAAATTAAATTCGATTTCTTTCCAAATACCTTTTTGCAATGGTCGCATGCGTAGTCTTTGTGACTTTGATGAACTGATTTTTGGTGTTTTCTCAAATAGTGTCGACGCCCAAACTTCTTCTCGCACTTGTCGCATGCAAAATCTTTGCGACCTTCGTGGACTTTTTTTGTATGTTGGATTAAATTGCCTAGTTCCCCAAATTTCTTCTCACATTGGTCACATGCATAATCTTTACGACCTTCATGGACTGTCTTTTGGTGTCTTAACAAAGTCCATTTTGTACCAAATACCTTTTTGCAATTATCGCATGCGTAATCTTTGCGACCTTCATGAACTAACTTTTGGTGTCTGAACAAAGTCGTTTTTGTACCTAATACCTTTTTGCAATTATCGCATGCAAAATCTTTACGATCTTCATGAACTAACTTTTGGTGTCTAATTAATTTTGATTTTTTTTCAAATGTATTCTCGCACTTGTCGCATGAGTAATCTTTTTCTTCATTTTGATTTAGGTTTTCTTGTTTTATTATGCTTGATTTTTCTGTTAATTTTGACTTACAAACGTCGTAAACGAGGTTTTCGTCCGTTGAATCATTAATATTGCGCACACCCAAGTTATATTTTGAAACTTGCTTAGATTTTTTCTCACTTTTATTCATTTTTCTACCAAAATATAACAATGAATACTTCTTTTTCGCAATACAGAAATTGAAAGAGTAAAATTGATTTTTTGTCGTTAAGTCTTGTTTCACTGATGAAGACAATACTCGTACTAGTTTGTTTTTACTTTATAACATAATCAGTCTACGAGGAACCATATCGAGATTGTTTACGTTTATACTGTTTACAATAAAGGCAGAAAAGACAAAATATTTGTTTATATTTTGTCATTTCCTTCTTTTAACCCCTGTTGGACTCAATCGAACTAAGCAGCACGACTCTCTTCGAAGCTATACAGCTTACGTAATTGTCGTTGTACAAAAAATGAAACCAACATAATTCGACCATTGGTGATCTGAAGCGACCCTGGTGCTGTAGCTTCAACGGTTTACTCTGAATGTTACGGCGAGTGAAATGCATTTTGCAAAAACGTAAAAGTCAAGAAAAGGCAAAAGACGAAAAAGTGTAACACGTAGGGTATACGAAAAAAGCTCATGGAAACAGCTGTATCTCAGTGAATAATCAACATTTTGGAGTTTTGGAAAATGCAATGAAAATGGGGACAGAAAAAGTTTGGTACCATTAGAATGTCATTTATGCAAATGGTATCCGGTTTTTCGCGTCAAAAAGTCGAAGGGAGAGCTTCCCAAAACCTCAAAGAACAATAACCAATGTTCATTGCAAGCCTCCAAAGAATAAAACAAAAATTGGACGTGTCCTCGGCCAAAAATTTGGCAGTTGAGTCGCGGAACGGCTCATATACGCGTTCGCCGCTGCGCGTCGCAGTGTGGGGAGCATGGCTTATACGAGCTGCGTGCAGCGCGTACATTGCGCGGTGCATCGGGCTCTCGTCTGCAGCGATCGTCCTCAGCGCGAAAAGAAGCCAACGCACCGACTTTCCAAAGGAGTTTCGCGCGTTTTATTACGGGGATATAGATAAGCGCGCTGCGATCTGTGTTTGCACTGCGTTATGCGGAGAAGCAAATGAACTCGCGAACGTATACACGTGTACATGTGTGCGAGTAGTGGCTGAGCAGCACATAAGATCGCCGTAAAAGCGCATATGCATAGAACGACGCGACGATGCAGTCCGAGCATTATGTAGAACATGGTAGCTGCACGTGGTGGCGGTACACACACACACACACACGCACATGGCAGCGATATTATACTCGCGGAAAAATGGCTTTTCCGCGGCTATTTACCAACCGACACGCGTATACATGGCTGTATAACACTATAATATAATAATATAATGCGCAACTGCATTATATGGATACAAGCTGTCTGTATGTGTGTGCGCGCGAGGTGCAACGCCGTGACGCTGCACTCGCTTAATGCAAGCTATATACATCCGCGTTTATTTTATACACATATAAGTTCATTTCCGCGTGTAACTCGAGTCCGCGTGCGCGAGGCGCCAGCTCGACGACGCTGCAGTACTCCAGCTATGTGGAATTACTATTATGCCTTCCTTTTTTTACCGCAATTTTGGTCATTCTCGCTCGAGCTGTTACATTATTTACGCGATATAAATTCTGCTACCATGCACCGCAACACCATCGAGTCTACATGTAGTACGTTTTTGAAAGTTTAGCGACTCGTCGGTCGAATAACTAAATGTATACAGACGAGAAATGCCCATTATTATACAGTGTGCCTAAACAATCGGCGCTGGATTTTTTTTTTCCTCTTTTTCCGTTACCGACCTGCAGTGTATAATATTATGAATATACATATCGCGCTGTAAATGCAATGCAGTGTTCGACTGCACATTCATGACAATAACAATTCGTTGCACACGCGTATAACATTAGCCTCCTCGTCGTTGATATTTCGTCCTCTCTTAACAGAAAGAAAGGCCAAGCGAGAAAACAGAGGAATATAACAATAAAAATAAACGCAAAGTGCAGCAGGATCAACAACGCAATGCATACGTACATATATGCCCGGGCCTTGCGTAATATATAATAATGAGACTCGCGCGCGAGCTCTTGAGCTTTTGTTCCTCGCGCTATAAATACAAGACAACATGCAAATTATCCGCGAGCGCTGCAAAATTTACGCGCTCTTATTATTTTACCTTTTTTTTACAATGCTCGCCTTCTCGGTGCAATACACTCACACTCGTGCATGTGCATATAATATAAATACATAAGAAGGGATTCTCCGAAAGAAAATACTTTTCGCTCGAACGCGATATTTACGTTGGCGGGCCGAAAGGAGAGTTTTGAGCTTCTTACGCTCTGGGATCGAAATTATGAATATAATAACAATGCGAGGTATTCGCGCGCGCGCGAGCTCTCCGACTCGAAATGTACGTATTCAAAGCTAGTGCGTACTTTAACGCGTACGCAACGCATACGCAGCACATTTTTTTTTGTTCTCCATAATACGATTGGAAATTGCGATCGCTCGACGAGAATATAATCAATTTTAAATCGATTTCTCGTTACGAGCCCGCGTCGCAATATAAATAATAATGTAACTTCTCGTTATTGGGCCTTTCGATCTTTTTCTTTTTTTTTTCCCTCCTCATTGTTGTCGGTGGCAAAACGTCGACTCTGTACTAACAAGGATTATTTATATATTATAATATACGTGTGCCTTGTTGTTGAAGTAGCCGCGTCGAGTTGCATAACGTTTGGCCCAGTTCGATTAATCAAAGATTAAAAGCCGGCGCACGCTTACACACTTACACACTTACTATACACGTACAACGTATACACGTTCCGAGCTAAACGCAAAAAGTTACTTCGGTATAATTTTGCGCTATTGCGGATCGACGATAATTTCACGCGCGCAGATATTTGGAGCGATAAGTATTAACGCGAATCGTGTGCGCTATTACATTGATACGTCGGCACTTGCCATGAAGAGTGACGCGCGCGCGCAGGGTCTTCCTACATAGTGAGTTGGCGCGTTCACCTTGGAGAAAGTCTTTCTCTCTCTCTCTTGACGCGCCGCGCGCGGCTCTCTCGGGCATATTATAATGCACACGAGCCATCCTTATTATAGGTATAAGCACATAATTCAATTTGTACTGCACTCAAATTATCGTCTTTATTATATGCGTGCGTATACGAGTGTATTGTAATGTATGTAATGTACGAATTTCGAGTGCCTATAGCCGTCGGTCGATGTGCTCGTTTTTGTGCGGCTCTCGAGAGATCCTTGATCGCATTCCGTGTGCGGCTTGGCTTGGCGCGTGAAACAGGACCTCCTTACACACAGCATGCCACATTACCGTATATATATCCTACATACAATATAAGTAATCGCGAAGAATTGCGCAAATTTTATATGCAGCTCTCCCGAAGAATCGTGTGGTCCGGACTGTAGACACGCGGCTATATTTTTGCATGTATATCTGCAGGCGAGTGCAGTTTCGAGAGGATGCTTGAGCCTCGTTATACGCTCGTACTCGTGTTGTTGTTCTTGTTGTTGCGTCGATTCGAAAATTACTTTTTGTATTATTTTTATACGTTAGCCTGTTTTCATCGACAAAACGAGCTCGCGGCATGTCCAATTGCTCAACTCGAGACGTCTAGTCCATTTAGGCTTCTAATAATCGTTGCGTTAGAATCTCTCATTATATATTATATATAACACGCATAATTTACGAGATGCGGTAGACGAAGTCGAGAGAGCACGTATTACAATCTTGCATCGGTGTACATTTTTTACCCCGTTACGCTTCTCTATAACGAGGACAAAAAATCGCTTATGTATCTGCTACGAGCGAGCATCCCCCAACGAGCGAAACATACGACCGATTCCAGCCGGACACTTGACAAAAATAAACTTTTAGAGTACTGTGCACGTGTATCTCGCGTTAACGATCGTAAAACACGCACTCCTGTTATTAGCTGCTAATATATTTTATATAGGTACGCGCACGTACTCGAATATATAAGCAACGTTTAAGGAATACCATAACGCAGTCCACCAGACGCACGCACCACTTCGTGGGCTCGTTTTTGCCTCGTTGCTGCAGCTCCCAAAGAGTGAAAGTAAATTCGTCTCTCTTCCGAAGAACGGAGCTTCTGCCGAACGGCGCGTTGCTGCACATGCTGCGCACTCGCCAGCGTACACACGTACATATATACTTATCCTGTAATATGCAACCGAGAGCGGTGCAGGCCAACCGCTGCACCGCCATGTATATAATGTGTACCAGTATAACGCGCTCAACTGGGTCAAAAGGAAATAAGCTCGGACTTGGACAAAATCTCTGCCGTATATAAAATACTCGAATGCGAGCATCGGATGCGAGATCGGTAAAAACCAAACTGCGCCGATTATTACGCGCATTTTTTTTCTGCACTCGCTCGAGTATACGACGAGATGTTTCTACTATTGTAAGCGGTGTGCCACTGCTGCGAGGCCGACATAAGAACGGCAAATTTTCTGCTTGGATTCCGCTACGCTCGTAAGAATATGCCAGTAGGAAATCTGCCCGTGTTGTAGTTTTTTTGCACGCCGTGATTAAAATTTTACAACTGAATACAATGAAGTACTTTCAAGGAATGGGATTTTTACTTTTACTTTTTGCCTTATCTACAAAAGTATTGTACTACGCAAATTATTTTGAATTTGATATGTTGTACAATTTTGACTGCTCTAGATATAATGTAATCGTGAAATGTACAAAAATTACGTCAGTACTCATGAAATATTTAATTATTGGTTTAAATGATAATAAATAGAAAAATGTATTAGTAACGTTTAAAAAATGACGCTTTTAAAAGCTCAAAGAAACCCTGAAATTGAACAAAATTTATTCAATTTTTTAAATCGAATTTCTTTTACCTTTCAAATGTATTTTTGTAAAAAATTTTATAAGATTTCATAGTGGAGGTAATCTCAATCTTCACATGAATGCGGTACATAAATGTGGTAAAACATTCGGACAAAAAATTAGTCTTAAAGTCTACATCGAAATGCCGCATTATTTACTCATTATAAATAAACTTATAAAAGTATAAATTGTAAGATCAAATAAATTGTAACTAATCCCGATGAACAATCTAATGACTTTTTTCGCTCAGTCTTTATTTTCAGGATAAGAATTCTTCTACGTTACTTCATTAGCTACAGTACAATGCGTCGATTTAATCATAATGGGCAATTTTGAAAAAAAAACAACTTTTTTTTATAGAAAAAAGGACCGGGCAGCTTGTTTCTACAAATCGTGAAATTACCATTTTCAGGATTACATTCAGTTTTCGCAGCATACAAATGAGTATGATACATGATAAATCAATTTAGCGTGCTTTAAAATTTGCATTAAGGCATAATACTAAACGAGTATACTCTACCGAGTATTGCTATGACGATCAATTACAGTGCGAATTTCATCTAGAATATCAATTTGAATTAATTTCGGCTACAAAATGTTTGCTATGATTTCTTCAATACTATTCAAAATAGTTGAATGGTTTTTAAATGATGCAAGTTAGTGATTATATAATACAAAATTTATTATTATAATACAACATATATCATTGACTTAAAATACATATGAAAATAACAGTTTTAAATAGATCAAAAAACATTGAAAAATAAACTGAATGGGCTACCAACAAACGTTTATTTAATTCAATAAAGACTAAGTTTTTTAAAACTGTATCTTTGGATCTCAATCAGTGGGTTCCATACAAAATAATTATTTATTTGTCAGTAACAACAATTGTAGATAATTTCATATTTATCTGAAAAATGAAAAAGAATTCATTAATTAAATTATAATATTATCCTATAATTTATTATTTAAGTTATTTGTTATCTATGCAAACAGGTGTACAAACTCATTTACTATTATTATTAGGATAGATCATTAATGAATGCAACCGGGCAAGCAGACGAATTTCCACTTATAGTATCTTTGATCTGTAGGAAGTTCACGTGTATTGTCCCGACACACTTCAACTAAATTTACAAATTTTTAATCCGAAGCTAGATACCTATTTTTTACAAACATAGATAAAAAATAGAAACTTACTTTGAATAGCAGATCTATCTGAGCCTTCTGGCTTCACGTTCAGACTCGAGGAGAGTTAGGAGATCTCCCTCGCGAACTGGACCCTTTACATTCCGGATGATCTGTCTGTTTTCCTCTCCGAGGAATTCGACCTTGACTTGGGTACACTGACCCTGGGATCCAGTGCGTCCCAAAACTTTAATTACACGAGCCAAAACGGTGGGTTTCTCCATTTTTATGGTTTATTTAATGGTTGATTTGATTCAAAATTTAAGTTTTATTTTATGGTTGGTTCGATTCAAACACACGCGTGATGCACAAAACTAACATGCATGTGTTTCACAGGTTGAAGAGTCCTCTGTTGAAGGTCGGGGCAACTGCTTCTATTAAGCGCGAGAATTTGAAAATCATATCAAGTTTATCTGTCAAAAAACCGCCATATGTTTATAAAATTCTGGGTATATTATATTATTGAAAAAAAAGTTGTAATGAAATGATACATTTATCCAGATAATAATTTGAATAAACCGATAGTTTTAATACCTTATTATAAATCACGATAAATTAAAATATTCGAAGGCATGGAATTTATACATAAAGTAGTTTTTACAATAATCCTTCACATTCTTCAGATACGTTGAAAAGTGACATTTTTTAACAAGGCCCATTTTAAAGTTAATTTCGATTGACGTCAAGCCGCATCGAGTTAAAACTGAAAGAGCAGATCGTGGTGGTGAAAGAGAAGCCGAGGCCTTTTAAAAATGGCCGCGCACGCATCCAAAACAACACGATAATGCCTCGAACGTGCGACTGCAGCGATTGCTCCAAAATTCGAAGAAACATCACCGATATATTTTCAGCGTTGAAGATCTACGGATGGATGCTGGACTCATACATCGTGGTGAGCTATCGTCAATTATTTTCAATATGCATTGAGTTGTCGACGTCAATTGTAAATCGTATAGAAAGCGACAAGCACGACGATAGGCATAAGGCAAGACGACTCGTCGAGGCTTTTCTGTCGTTCAACGCCATCTAACGATTAGTTTTTGAATCTTGCGTTTTATTTGAATTGTCATGAATACCCAGTACGAATAATACGTAATTTTCAGGATTTTTATTTGGAAGATCATTGGTCTAAATTACCTTCAAGTTGGAAAACACTCTTGGATCAGATTCAGCCTGACGAACTTGGGAAATGGATCCTTAGACAGACAAATGGAAGGTATAACGAGCGATTTCCCATAAGAAAAGCACGAGTTTCTCAAATAAGCTATCAATTAATTTTCAGCCGCCAAGTTTATCCTTTATCGCTCATAGCCCTGCGAAGTTTCATCGAGAAGGTAGAAATATGTCGGGATCAAGAGCGGAAGGACGCTTCCTTCAAGTGTGTCTCGCGCACAGAAGTCGAGATTCGCGCTGAGCGCGATCGAACCGACGATGTTCCGAAGAATAATAAATTACTCAATGACGAGAAGTTGGACAAGCTGATCATGAAACATGTCAAAGAGAAGAAAAGATACGAAATACCTGTTATGTCAGAGGTGATCGACTTGATTATGACCCTTGCGAATGACAACGAAATATTTCTTCGGTACGTAACAAAAATATACTTAAATATCAATTAAAATTTGCAGGTGGTAGCGAATTGCGCATCGAAAGCTAAATGCAAGTGCGTCGTCGACATTGGCTCGGGTATCGGTCACTTGGCCCGGGCACTCGCCTACAAGTACGGCTTGTGCTTGCTCTGCGTCGAGCAGAATCCAGACCTCATCGAGCGTGCCAGGTAAATAAAATAAAAAAATGACTCCTTTTCACGTAAATGCACAATCGCGCTAATTCGCAGAAAATGGGACGACCAGTTGGAGCTGACATTGAGGAAACGCGGCAACGATCTCAGCGAGACGAGATCGCCGCATCACGCGTCGATGTGGGTGAGCGTCGAAAAGTCGTGCGAGCTCGCGCGAACTTTGCGGGCGAATTTCGATCTCGAGGGCTCGCGGGACGAGCTCGGCTACGGTTTGGTGGGGCTTCACCCGTGCGGCGATCTCGGGCCCACGCTGTTGAAGCTGTACGCGACCGAGCCCAGGAACAGATTCATCTGCGTCGTCGGCTGCTGCTACATGAAGCTCAGTCAGGGGTACGCGTGCAGATGAATATATACGCAACGACGATCCGAATGCGTGCAAATATCAATTAAATCATCGATCGATCGTTTCAGAGGAAGCAGCGAGGCCGGCTACCCCATGAGCGAGTTCGTGAAGCGACTACCCACGAGCGAGACCGTGGAGATGAGCTACAACGCCCTCGAGGTGTCCTGTCACGCCTCAGAGAATCACTGCGACAAGCTCGTGAGAAACGACTACGACGATCTCATCGTTCACGCCTATCGGGCCGCCTTGGAGTATCTGCTGGCCGGCAAGAGTCCGCAGCTGCGACGCTGCCAAGTGAAAAGCCTCAAGTCCCACGGCCTCACTTTCCAACAGTTGAGTATCGGATTTTGCGCGATGCGTCTCGATAGCCGGTGCGTAATTTGAATACACGATTACCGATGTTGTATCCTTATTATATAGATACTGCCAAGCCGCGACGGCCGATCTGCGCGAGTCGCATCGGCCGAGCGATGACGACTGCCGGCGCGGCGACGTGCTGGACATGCTGCTGGACTGGAAACGAGTGCTGGCCTTCGGATCGCTGCGTCTGCTGCTGGCCCCGCTGGTCGAGTCGCTCCTGCTCTACGATCGATTTCTCTACCTGTCGGAGCTCGGCTTGGAGCCCGAGCTCAAGGCCCGATTCGATCCGAGATTATCGCCTCGCAACATACTGCTCACGTCCATCAAGTCTTGACCGAGAGAGAGAGAAAAATATTAACCGGGAGAGATCGATCGGTTATTGTCAGCTGCGAATCGATAATTATATACGTTTTCGCTGATTATTTAATAATTGCCTTTATGTAAATAAAAAGAAATAAACGTGTAAGAACAACGAAGTAATCGAATTTCATACTAATAATGACAGCGCAACTTGTCGCATCGTAATTTGACATCTCCATCCCGTCAATCGTTTAATAATAATTTGTATATTTCATTACTTCATCGATATAAAACGTAGCTCATTTTATTTAGTACAAAAAGCCACGCGCGCGCACTCACGTGTTCGAGACGATGACAAACCTCGCATCGCCCGAAAATTCCCCATCGATATAATCTCGACAACATCTGGCGAAGCTTGTATCCCCTTTTGTGGTGTGGGGGCGAATTCGGAATAAGCGAAAAATCCATAATTACGATTATAGAAATGTAAGTTGCTGTATATAGTACGAAAACAGACTGGGCCACGCTAGTCACGAGTCTGCCGCGATTACGTATTATTTATAGCCGTATTTAACCGATTGCAAACCCTAATCGAGCGCGATCGCATCTGTTCATATTTTTTATTTTTTTTTTTATTATGATTATTATTATTGTTGTTATCATTGTAACTATTTTTTGTAGTGCGCGGATACGTAGAACGTTGTATCTATATAGGTGTGTACAGCAGCGCCGCCGACTGCTAAGGTAAAACAGGCGCACGAGTTTCGTCGTGACGTCATATGCAATAGTCTCTATAACGCATTATATGTGTGTGTGTGTGAGCTAAAGCAGCAGCAGCAGAAAGCGACATCGCGCAGCAGCTATATTGTCCTATATACAATCTACTATATACCTCTACAACACGCAGAAACGAAATAAGTGGACGACGATAAGAGACAGTGCGGAAAAAAAGTTGATATAGATAGAGAGAGAGAGAGACTCTTGGCAGGCAGGACAGGGGCGACTCCGGCAAACATACGTGATCTATTCCATGCTCCTATATCCTACACAACCCAAGTCTCGCAACACGTAAGCGCGATTAGTTGACTTTTTCTTCCCCCTTGAGTTTTGTTAGAGAGTCGATTGGACTTTGTATACCTATATCGGCCCCTCGTTTCGTTTACGCCTTGCAGTCTCAGCAGCAGCAGCAGCAGTAGCAGCAACAGCCAACGGCAGCAGCAGCAGTGGAAAAAGACGTCTCTTTGTTTTGCAGTGCCGTATACTCGTGTACACACACCTATATTGGGCTAGTTGAAATTGTTGTAAAGGCGCACACATTAACATACGTTCAATAAACGTCAGCCAGTCCAACAGCAGCAACATGTCGTACGCTTATCTCTTCAAGTACATCATCATTGGGGATACTGGTGAGTGGCTAGATTCTATACGTCTTTCATATATAACGTCCAACCCGCATATATAAACATGTATGCAGAAATTTGCATCTACGCTGCACCTGTCGTGCGTACGAGCTGATTTCCGAGACTCGGTGTGTTTGTGTATGTGTAAATGTGCATACGTGCACGGAGCAGACATTGTTGTGATGACAGCGATGCTGCGTTTTTTTCGTCATATATAACGAGAATTCAGAGATATCTGCGCACTCTTAGCGAATCTAATGGATGCTGCCTTATTTTTTTTGCTAGCTTGCTAATGATTATCGACTCATTTTTTCGGTTTTTAGCAGAAATGATTACTTACGGCGTTCACACGCACACATATTAGCTGCGTATTTATATTCTCGCATTGTTCTTTGTTTATTTTTCAACTGCTCTGACTTTTCATAGTCAGCTGATCTTGACTTATATTTGATTATTTTACTATACAGGTGTGGGAAAGTCATGTCTACTGCTGCAATTCACAGACAAAAGATTCCAGCCAGTTCACGATCTCACTATTGGAGTTGAATTTGGTGCTCGTATGATCACCATTGATGGCAAACAAATCAAGCTGCAGATTTGGGATACTGTAATATTTCAATTATTATAACCCACTCTCTTATTAATGAAGTTCGAAAATAACTAAATTTTTATTTCATGCATAGGCCGGTCAAGAAGCTTTCCGATCCATTACACGATCCTATTATCGTGGTGCTGCTGGAGCCTTACTTGTATATGACATCACACGCAGAGAGACTTTTAACCATTTGACAACGTGGTTAGAAGATGCCAGACAACACTCCAACTCCAATATGGTTATCATGTTGATTGGCAACAAAAGTGATCTTGATGCTCGAAGAGAAGTCAAAAGAGAAGAAGGAGAAGCTTTTGCCAGAGAGCATGGATTGGTATTCATGGAAACCAGTGCAAAGACAGCTGCTAATGTAGAAGAAGCTTTCATTAATACTGCTAAGGAAATATATGAAAAAATCCAAGAAGGCGTATTTGATATCAATAACGAGGTATATTTAAATAAATTATTTGAAAAAATTGTTTGTACTTTGATAGAGTATTTATTGAATTATTTTATTATTTCAAAGGCCAATGGTATCAAGATTGGACCATCACATTCTCCAAGTAGTCCAGGAGGAATAGCAGGAACTGGTGGTCAAGGCAGTTCACAGGGTGGTGGATGCTGCTAGGGGCTGGACTTCATTTGTCCGAAACATCATCCTTCAACAATATGAACTGATAATCTCATTCCTGCACTTTGTTTTTACAGGGAAGCGCCTATAACGTTTACACTGTATTAATCTTAATCAATTTTAAGATGAGTGATATAGGTGATGAATTTATATAATATAAATATATATTATAATTTTGAACAACGTTTATAACTAATGATTAGATGAATAATTTAGGGCAAAATCATAAACATCATGACACAGGTCAAATGAAGCCTTTAAATGTATACTTTTGTTGACAACAGTGGCATGACCCTGAATTTTTCAGGTAAAGGATTCGCGAGATTAGTTCAACTTCATTCATTAAATTTGTATGTGAATTTTTGAATGTATTGTTACAAATGATATCGACTTAAATATTATTTATTCAATAGTTTATGAAATACACATTTTTATGATTTTTTACATGATGCTTTAAGCATTATATTGAATTGCAGAATTATAATTTGTGCTAATTACGTAAGGATATTTAAATATGAGTATGTTATTATTATACCAAAATGACTTTTGTTCTTTACTTTAGTGATTTTGAATAGAAAGGTTAAGTACAAAATATCATGAAAAAATTGCACCATAACAGAGTACTTTTTAATTATATAGCATTATAAACAACAAAATAGAAGATTAAACATTGACTGATCAAGAATACGTAAGCTGCTTTTGGTTTCTTGTCGATGTTATGCCCGATCTTTGCTGTGAACTATTGAAAAACGTTTGTGATGATGATATGAAGTTTGTTTGAAATTTTAAACCAGAAAAGTCAATCGGTATATGTAGACAATGTTTTTAAGAGACGTTTACTACTTTTCTTACATCAAAAAATCGCCAAAACACTTTGTACATTATTTTGCATAAATACGAGTTAACGTTTGTTGTTGAGTATTTGGCGCTGCATGAGGAATATTTTTAAACAAAAAATCACCTGTAAACGCAAATTACTAATCGGCGACATTTTTACAATATAAAATCATGATGGAGTTCTCATTTGATTCACATGTAACTACTGTAATAAATTAACTAGTCATCTTAATCGAAAAATCGTTTCGTCAAAATGTATGGAAAAAAATTATATTAATATGTAAACTTAAGTACATTTGAAAATAAATATAATATTCATTATCACAACTTAATTCAGTAATGATGCTTATGCGCGCAGTGCGTTTCCACTTGGCTTGGATCTAGCAAAAAAAAAATCGCCACCTTTGCCAGGACTTATTGAACTAATTTATCGAAAAATAACTGCTTGAAGATTATGCGCCAATCGAGTAGGATCGTAATGATAATTTATATACCTTTGTACATTGAGTATATGAAATGGAATTTTGAACAGATTATAGCATAAAAAATAAAGGCCGCTAGTTAACTGCGCTCGCAAGAAGATAATTATATGTAATGAAAAAAAAAAACAAAAAAATAAAATTCATCTTCAAACAAATCGATTTTTATTACCGAGCTTTTATCGTCGAATGTGGAGCTTTTTAAATTCGCGACGCGAGTTTTCATTTCTTAATGCTTTCTTTGATCTCGGTCTCGAGTTCAATTGATGTTTTTCAATTTTATGCAGGTACACAGCGAACAATTTGTCGGTAAAAGAAACTCGATACATCCACTTATCGGCGACCTATATAAAAACGGCAAATGCACTTACAAGTAGGTGACGCGAACAGAGCTCAGGGAGGGATGAAATTCGAGCTGTCTTTCACCCGTATTATTATGCTTGTGCGCCTAAGCGACGCATCGCTCGATGGGCGTGCAGCAGCATCGGTTAATTATTGTCTTTTTTTCACGCGAATCGAGCGATCGCCGCCGCTTCATTTTAATTCGCCGCAGCTGACGAGTGACGAGTAGTCGGCGCGACCGCGTTCTACGCTTTTAAAAATCCCCCTGAAAGACAGCAAAATGTTCATACGCGCGCGTTGAACTTGCAAATACTACGTGGACGTATGACAATCAGTTTATGGGATGCGAGGATAAAGGCGAGCCTCGCGAATAGTCATAAACGCGATAGGCAAAGTGCGCGAGTGTGGGACACTTGAACATACGATCTAGGCCCTCGGATTTCGTAAAAACAACTACTAGTCGTTCATTGATATGAATTACGAGGATAATCGAACAACCGTAAAAGTCGTCGTTGTTTATAAGGGGAGGTTATGAGGCTCGCTCAACACCATCTTCTCTTCTGCACTTGTGTATATGTGCCATATTTACAAAACATATCGTTGACTGCTGCTGCTGCGCCTTGGCTTGTATTCTCGCCGTGTACACATGCCTGAATAAGATAAATGTGAGTGCTTTGATTGTGCCATCCTCTGCACACATCTATACCAAAGTAGTTCTGATTTTCTTAACTCGTCTTGGCCGATCATGATCATCGTTCGCTGATGCAACGAGGGAACAAGTAGGAGAAATAACGAGTCAGTATATCTGCAAAGCCAAAGAGTTGCGGGGCCTGTCTGCTCTTTGCGCAAAGAAGATCATTGCCTTTCGTGACACTGCCTGCTGCCTGTCTTGCCTTCGGTCATCCGTGTGTGTTTATGTATATACGACGATAGTCGGCGTTTCGGAGCGACGAGTGCGAATATTGTTATTGGCGAGACAAGGAGCGTCGCAAATCAGACGCCATGATGGTAGGTGGAACCTGTTATCATTCAACCGGCCAGTATAATTGACCGCATAAACGACTGCTGTACATTAGCTCCTTCCCTCTGTTTCTAATACTTGTTAAATATTTATCTATCGTGAAGCGGGACTGACTTGTTTATCTTAACTGTGCAATATGTTGCAGGACGGTATATGTGAAACCAACGAGATCATCAACAATGGTCCTGCCAAAAAGGTACATTAATAAGTATTTTGCATGTCTTATAAGTTGGTTTTTTTACTGCATTAGGCTCTCGTTACGCCCGTGAGTGACGTGTCGCAAAATGAATGCTTGCTTTTTTCCTCATAATCTTGATGACTAATTAAAAAATATTTTTTTTGCTAGACCATTTCCAATGAGTCATCGTTGGATCAAACTGAAAAGGCATTACAAGTTGACATATCTGATGCGCTCAGTGAAAAAGACAAGGTCAAATTTACCGTCCACACCAAGACCTCCTTGCCTGATTTCCAAAAGTCGGAGTTCTTTGTTGTGAGACAGCATGAGGAGTTTGTCTGGCTTCATGATCGCTTCGAAGAAAATGATGAATATGCTGGTTACATTGTGCGTTTTATGATGTATGATAATGTATGGTGACCATAAATCATAGAATATTTTTATAATCTGTTATTCATTATGTAGATTCCTCCATGTCCACCACGACCTGATTTCGATGCTTCAAGGGAAAAGCTGCAGAAACTGGGAGAGGGTGAGGGCAGTATGACAAGAGAAGAGTTCATGAAAATGAAGCAAGAACTTGAAGCGTTAGTAAATTTTTTATTTAAAATTTAAAAAGATAATATCAAATATAATTTTTATGGCTAATTCTGTTTTAGGGAGTATTTGGCTACTTTCAAAAAAACTGTTGCTATGCATGAAATGTTTCTAACTCGTCTTGCACAACATCCAGTTTTCCGAAATGACCATAATCTTAGAGTATTTTTAGAATATGATCAAGATCTTTGTGTTCGAGGTAAGCTTTAGAAATCCAGTGCATTACTGTTTTAGTTTGCTCGATAAAGTTATAATAAATTGTATTATATTTCAGGCAAAAATAAAATAGAAATGTTTGGTGGACTCATGAAGTCATTTTCAAAAACAAAAGATGAATATTATTTATCTGCAACTGTGAAAGATGTCAATGACTTTTTTGACCAAGAAATGACATTCTTGACACAATATCATCAGAACTTGAAAGAAGCCACTTCTCGGTCTGATAGACAAACAGCAAAACACAAGGATGTGGCTGATTCATATATAAAAATTTCAACTAACCTTTTGCAACTAGCTACAACAGACACAGGAAAACTTGAAAAATTCATGACGAAAATTGCTGAAACTTTTGAAAAATTACGAGTAAGCAATTGCTCTAAATGTTCATTTTATAAAATTTTAATATTTTCTAATGTTGTTAATAAAATAATATTTACAGAAAGTCGAAGGACGCGTAGCATCGGACGAAGATTTAAAATTATCTGATACTTTACGATATTATATGAGAGACACTCATGCAGGAAAAAGACTATTAATAAGGAGATTGAAAGCTTTGCACAATTACGAAACAGCAAATAGAGCTTTGGAAAAAGCACGAGCCAAAAATAAAGATGTTCACGCAGTAAGTATTCAAAAACTTTTGAATTGGATTAATATAAATGAATCGTGAACAGTCCAGGGTCCTAAAAGATTTATGTAGCTAAAAGTGACATGATAACACCACGTTAAATTTACGTGTAATTTAATTTGAATATCGAAAGCGGATTTCCAAATCGCTAGAACTTTTATTTCTAATTTAAAATATTTCTAATTTAAGCTGGAAGTTGCTTTTTTAATCGATTTACCTATTGTAAATTTTTCAACATTCAAAAACTGATATTTTTGTCTCAAGTCCCTTTCGTAAATTCGTTGCTAAAACCATTTTCTTCTGGGTATTAATTTCATTTTGCACACTCAATTTAATTTTCGCTGTGTGAAATATTGATTGTTCAGCTCTCTACTTATATGATAGCGCTATAAACGCCTATGTTGGTAAAAGATTATACAGATATAATAAGAATGTAGTTCATTCTTTTTCTTATACGAAGCTCCTGATATTCTTTGGAAATCTATTCTAGATATTTATATTAAGTTAGTGAAAATACACGTAAATAACGTTGTTGTAATCAGGATGTGCTATCTGTACCCTTTGACTGCAAACAATGAAATTGTATTAAAATTAAACTAAACTTTCAACTGGTAAATTTTACTTGATATAACATCTAATTCTTGTGAAATACTAATTTTACTTTTCTTGATCCTGAAGGCCCAGGAGGTCGCTGAGGTGTGTCCCTTTTTTATATGCATACATGCAATTTTTATTATGTGCAAAGATTAATTATTGTTTGTAATTTTATTAGATGATTCTTTATAAGTATTGAATTATTAATTTGTTGAAAATGATGTCGAATTTAGTACTTGTGCGATTTAATTTTTGCACTAGGATTTTAATGCCAATTAACTGAGCATGAAACTTAGGTAAATTAATTGCATGGTGTGAGCTTCATTAATTTGAAATTTTGCTTTAAAATTTCTTTGGGATTAAATATATAACCGTAACTACTTTAAAATATCCGAATTATCTCAATTTATGTTCATTTTTCTTAGGCTGAACAAGCTCAAACCGAAGCCTGCGCTAAATATGAACAGATGTCCGAAAAAGGGAGAGAAGGTAAATATTATTGAAATCAGTGTTTTACAATTTTTCGATGCATAATTAAAATTATTTTTCATTTGCAGAACTTGTGGATTTTAAGCAAAGGCGAGTAACGGCATTTAGAAAAAATTTGATAGACCTTTCTGAATTTGAAATTAAACATGCCAAGGTAAATGTAGCTAATTAAAGTAAACTTGTTATTGAAAGGTACTCAGATATTTTTAATATTTAATACCATCTATTACTTTCAGGCTCACGCTGAAATGCTCAAAAAATGTTTATCTGTTCTCCAGAACGAGTAAAGAAAGTAATTAATTTTTATTTATCAAAGAAAATGTATGCAAATAACGATGTATTTAACAGATTACAATATTCTGATATTGTAAAATATATTTTTTGTTATTCTATGCCGCTTCAGCGCGCTGAATGAAAAGTTAGCTATTAAATATAATAATATAATTAAATGTATTCGTCGTAAATAATTGGTCAGAAAGTGAATGCGTTTTCTACATAATTTTTTGAAGCTGTAAAAAAATAATTATAAATGTAGCTTTTTTATTATCAAAAGAAAGACTTTCACACAATTTATGCTGCACGTGCATGTAAACGCGCATTTGCATAATAGTAACTCTAATATTGATCAAGTGGTGAAATTTATAATATTTTTAAAAAGCATTTAAAAATCTTTTTATCTGTTGTTTATTCTCAATGATTCTTTATAACTATTGTCATATGTAAATTAAAAGCTATCCATGTAAAAAAAATAATCTTAAGACTTTAAATACTTTATAGTAATCTATTATTAAATATTGTAATGTTTTCATTGTTAGGATGTAATAAACAAACTTGACATTTGTAAATTAAAGCTTTTCACGTCTTTATTACCACGGAATCATTTTCGTTATTTTTAAAATCAAAAATCGACTAAAGCATCTTTAAAGTTTAAAGGCCATTTTTGAAAGGGAAAAGGTTTATAGATTCAAAAGTGGCAGACAAGTATAGGTAAAATAAAATGAAATCGTTTTAAATTTATGCTATCGCATTATAGTTTTATTGAATCGAATTGAATATTTCATTCTATAATACATGATTGCAGACATATACTTGAGAAATTCATAAAGTTGCAAGTTTTTTTTTATCTTATGGAGGCTCTTCACTTATTCACCGTTTAAAATTTTTGTTCCATTTTTTGTTCATTGAAATTTCATCGTATAATCATCGTTTTTATTTTCTCTCAGTTTTCGTTATCATATAATCGTCATTCTTAATCCGCTCTTAACCTTAATATTAACAGACCCTACGAATGTATAGACTAAATCGGTAAAAGGTTTCTTATCGTGCGCACAGCACAATCGTCAGCTTTTATTCTTCTTTTTCTGCATCTCGGTACTGTGTGTATGTGTGTGTGTCTTGGGCCGCGACTCGCGTGCATCGGAATGCCATCTCGTTGCGGCGCTCGATCGCTCCGGGATTGATAAAGACCGTCGTGCTGTGCGCACGTCTAATATCTCGCTATATCCGACGCATTCATCTCTTTAACACATGTTTACTCTCGTACTCGCGATAATATAATATATGTATCATCTCATTCGCTCTGGCATCCCAGCAAATAGAGAAAAAAATCCCAATTCAATGAATTTCCATCGATCGTCGAGTCAATCAACGCCTACTTTATTAATTAATAATTTACACTCGTTCTCGAAATTACACTTTTTTTCTCTCAACAATCACACGTTTCATCCTCGTATTTGCCGTTGAATATTTATACATATACCATAGGTTCTATGTTCTTTATAATTAATTGTGTATAATAATTAATCGGCGGATGGTATAATATATTTCTGTGTTACGTAGTATGTATATCATCATCACCAGCATTATCTTCACCATCATATTTATATATTTCTTTTTTTTTATATTCATATGTATATTTTATGTATATATGTATATACGCAATAGAAAAACCTCATCTCCTTTCTTTTATTTTTTACCAAAACAAAAGGAAAATTTTTAGTCGGCGTTTAGTCGTCGTACAGTCGAATATTTCCGGTCATCGTTTCTCTCTTTCGCAAATATATAATCAATTTTGTGTATTGTGCTTATTACACTCGAAGATAGTTGTAATAAATAAATTTCGTGTTTCTGCTTCATTTATATAATACGTAATTGTTCTTACCCTCTCTCAACGAAATAATATGTTATGTATACGTAATAATTACAAAGTAACAACGTCGGTATGTTGGTACTCTCCAGATTTCCCGTCGGTAGACACACGTTCTCGGCACATTTACACTTTCTTCATTTTCTCACACAAGTACGATTAATTAATATTGTATAAAGACTTAAAATACAATCGATAATGCTCAACGCAAAGTTTACAAGTTTTCAATGGTGCGTTATAATATACATGTACATATTATATTTATAATATTTATAAATACACGAAAAATCACAAATCGTTTGTTCGTTACGGCATATGTAACAATTACGTCGCATATAACATTTTCGTTTAATCGTAGTGGATCTCGCGTTTAAAAGTATTTATCGGTTTATATACGTAACGACACAATATTTCACGAAAGTCGTAATTAACAGAAAAATTGACCTCATTTTTGGAGCAAGGGTACACGAGTATAGGGGTTGGTTTTTCGGGCAGTTAATATCACGAATCGTTATACGAAAATTTTTTCATCTTATACCTGTGTAACTGTATACGAGAGTGTCTGTACAATATATATTGTTAATGTATACATACGTAATGATAATCATAATGCCGAACGCATATGTTCGCGTCTTACGAAGGAATGTATTTATAGGGCCGAAAAAACAGCCCGTGACGCGCGAGATGAGCTATATCGCTTGGGAGTGACAAAAAAAAAGAAGGAAAAAGAATAGAGCGAGCGAGAAGAGCTGAGCCATGACTCGGGCGAGATGTATAATATGCAGCAAAAAGCTCGTCGGGTCGTCTGCCACGCGCGACTTTCCATTTTGAGCGAGCTTGACCATCGGGGGCTGGCGAGATAGTCTCGATTTATTATACATGCGTCGTCCATCTTGCGCCTTTGTTTTCTTATTTATCCCGTATTCTCGGCAACGCGTGACTCTTTGATATTATTTACCGTTCAGCGTTTATAAAGGCGCTTCGTACTATATACCGTCGCGCGTTGGCAATGAAAGACTTTTAGACTTTTTATCTCTCCTTCTCTCTCTCTCTTTCCCATTTTCTCGTCTTGGCTTTACTTACGCGCGCAAGCAATTAATAAACAGACTCTCTCGCGGAAACCAATTATTTATTTCTGGGTGCTGTGTGCGCGAACGCATGCAAACGTACACGTATACACACGCAGTCGCTATGCATACCCACCCCTATAGACCGTGTTTTCGTTTCGAGCTTTGAAAAAATATCACTATATACCAAGTAAGCGCGGAGGTTTTTCTTTTGTTGTAAGTCCATATGTACAGACGTAGTGCGCGTGCACGCGTTCCGCAAGCTCGCTCAAAAAGTCGGGCTTTATTTTCGTTGCTTTGTTGCAGCGTAGAGAATAATTTACGCCGAGCCAAAGAGACTCTCGGCAACTCCTTTCTATATGGCTTTGCATGTCTGTTTTTACATAACGACGCGTTTTTCCGCCAACGTTAGATATCCTTCGATTTGGTCGCGCCGTTGTGAATAATGCGCTTGCAAGCTCGGCAGCGAGCGATCAACCGTGCGCACATATACACGCGTTCGGTGTATCGCACTCGTGTGCGCGGTATATGATATATATGTCGCACGATTGGAAGCTCCCATCGAGGCGCTTAATTCGAATTATCTTCTTTCAATTCGACTGCGATGTAGCATAGTATATATGTCGTTGTGTGCTCGCAAGCCCGGCATATACGTAGGCTTTTAGCGTATGCGGCCGGCCGATCGATTCCGCGCGTTCAATTTACCTCCGCGAATTCGTAGCGCTCGCGTGTGATCGCGGTATACCAGCTACAATCTGATCATCGGGTTGTGCGGCATACATGCGTGTATCGCGAACGCAGAGTGCGCGCGCGAGAGGACGAATTAAGCGAATTCATTTATTTCGACTCGAAGCATATTGGCCGCGAGCGCGCAACCCCCCGAGGACAAAAGTTCGAGCGCGCATGGGTCAGGAAAAAAAAAAGAGTTTGCCGCTGTGCCGAAGGCGGCCGAACGACAAAAAATAAAACAGCTGCAGCGGTAGTAGGCAGCGACAAAAGAAACGAATGTACAATATATACTCCGAAGTATAAATTACTATTTTCTGCGGGGATGGCTCGTACGCGGTAGTGGTCGGCGTGTCGATATGTTTGTTTTATAGGGAAAACGTGAAAATATATACAGACAGACACACACCCATGGCACAACTGCACAACTACTTGCGCATATTCGTGTTTTTTTTTTTTTTTTATAGGCGTATGTGCGCCTGCGTGTATACAGGTGCGAGAGTGTGTAAAAGCGAGACGTAAAAATGCCAATAGCTCATCTCGCACGTGCTGGGGCTGATATTTTGTCACGAGCAGAGAGCGGCGCAGAGAACACGAGCGAGAGAGAGAGAGAGAACAAAGATCAATGAAATATATATCACAACAATTTATATCATACGTGTGTGTAGAATAAAAAATGGATTTTTCTGTTTTGCTCGGGCGGGAACACACAGGGCACTCAGTCGTGCAGTATGTCGGACCAAAAACACAGTACCATAACAGCGACAATGCACTATGCGCTTATTACGACAAATATCGTCTAGCTTTTTACGGGGTTCGGGTTGTTTTTTGTCGTTGTTGTTGTTTTATTCGTACACGCCATTGTAAAAGAAAAGAAGCATCCGTTATTCAAAGTCTCTCTCTCTCTCTCTCTCTCCCTCTCTTTTTCTCAGCGCATAGCGGGCGTGTGATACATTATGCGCGCGCTCGTGCAATGTATAATATACACACTTATACTCGCATCCCCTGGCTGTATATCGCGCATTTCCATGGCGAAAGCATAGCGCGCACGACGACAATCCTCTCTCTCTCTCAGTTTCTCTCCCTTTCTCTCTCTTGGACACGCAACAATGCAAAAAAAACATCGAGTGAGAGAGAGAGAAAACAGCGCAGGCACACATAACTCTCTCTCGTCTCGGTCCCTCGCGCGCTCGCTCGCGGCTAACATTTACAAGCTGCACGTAAAATCCAACGTATATCTACGTGGCACGCAGGCAGTAGTACAGCGCGGTAGTCGTCCTTGCAGCACGCACACGCACACGCATTTTATGGAGCACACACACACACCCACCCACAAACATATACATACATGTATTCGCGTCGACTAGTGCACGCGCGTATAAATTATACAGCTGATGCACGTACGTACAAATATAAATAGCCGAGCAATTCCTCTTTTTTTCCTGCTCTCGCTGCTGAAACTATAAAAATGAGACGATATATTTTTCTTCCTTTTTACTACTCCGAGCTGGCCGAAAGTCACGCACATTTAATCGTGACGCGAAAAATATTTACGCGCGATGTGCAATGATCGAGAGAGGGAAAGTAGAGAGAGAGCAACAAATTACAGCAGCCGAGGCACATTCGTGCGGCCTACATTAGCGAACGGATGATGTCGAAAAATTACACGAGAGAATCGAGAGAGAGAGAGAGAGAGAGCTTGCAGCTGCGCGCTTACGCCTACGTGTGTGAGCTGCATAAGTGTGCACGAGTGTGTATGTGTGAGAGAGATAAAGAGATCTAAATCGGGGGGCTGGGTACACGGGGAGCTGGAAGAAAGATATTAGCGAAGAGTATGACATCGAAGTTACAAGTATAGTTTTTCTTTTTTTATGATATATTTTTTTTTCTTATAAGGAGATAGGAGAGGTAGACATCTTTTGTCGGTGTACATATATATAATTTTCTTTTTCTTCATATACGCTCGAGTACACGTACACGCGCCGACTTATTTTACTCCGAGCCAGCTTGTACGCAATAACGCATCGTGTTTTTTTTTCCTCGTCCATGTATGTTTGCGTGTATATTTGTCTGTGTGTATGTGTGTGTGTGTGTATGTTTACGAGTCTGTTTTATAGTTTATTCATATATAACATTTTTTTATGAGAGGATATATCGATATAATCCGGTGGCCGCTGCAGCTCCCGTGCGCTACGTCGCGCTGCACCCCGGCGTACGTGTCCTCGACTGCGTGGGCGTAAGGCTGCGTGCCAGCGACTCCGTCGTCGTTATTTCATTATTTATATTATCATATGTTTTAGGACGTAAGAGGGAGGAGAGACCCGCCGCCGTCGCCGCATCATCATCAGTGCAGCTGCAGCAGACTCGACGACGGCGACGACGACGACCAAGACGACGATGACAGCAGAGCGCGAGGCGTCGTCGTCAGCGCCAACAGCAGCAGAAGCATCAGCAGCTGCGATCCTCTCGGCATCGTTCCACCGGCTGTTTTTCGTCGTAAAATCGCTGCCATCTTGTCGCCTGTAACAACACAAGAGAGAGAAAGCCTTGGATTAGAAATATGTATTTTGTGGATGCGGGGTTAGTATATAAACTCCCTCCCGCCAAGGCAATTCAGTTGTAAAATACCGAGCCACGCTATACCCTCTTTATCTATCACGCAGTTTGCGAGTGCAGCAGAGAGACGGAGATGCATAGGCATTTAGTAGCTATGCTCGAAAAAAATGAAAATAAAAAACAACAACAGCGACGACGAGGACGACGAAAACAAGACGGGAAAAAATAAAAAAACAACGCAACAAATACCATTTTTCATGTTTTGTTCCACGAAACTATTTGCTCCGAGTTATTTCTCGCTGTTGCCGTGGCATTTTCTGGGAAAAAATCATAGCGGCGTCGTTTCGCGAATAACGTATAATACACGATGTATACGCCTATATAACTATATACATAGTTTGATAGAAATGCAGTGTAGCCCTCCTCCTCCCCTTCCATCCCTCGAACTATACGTACGTATTTATATACGGATAAAACAATTCCCAGGGAACTTTTGCGCAGTTTTACAATTAAACGCGGATAAATGCATATACAGATACATATACGTACACGCTCACAGCTCAGCCTGTGCTTCGATAAATTCTGCTTTTTCGTTAAAGCGCGCATATGCATGAATATATAGGAATATCTATACGCGTATATCTTAAATGTATATATGTACGGCTGCGCTCTCGACGCAGGCGGCTAAATAAAATAACGAAAAGCGCCCAGCGCCGAATATATAAATGCAATAACAAATCTGTGCACGTGTATGTGTGTGTGTGTAGCCCGGCGCTGAGCACGAGATAATGAAACGAACTCGAGTTTCCCCAGCCCTCCAGTAGTTGTACGCCCGAGCGGCTCGATCGAAATATTCCGATGTGTGCGTGTGTACATTTGTACGTCGTTCGCAGGGCCGAGCGACAGCAGCAGCATGAGCTAATTCGCCCAAACTAAATGATCAACCGATTGCGGAACTGGTAATTGGGTCATATTTTTATTAATTATAAAAATGTATAATTAACGTGAGAACGATACGATGAATTACGGTCGAGGGACATTAATCGTTCGCGTATCGAATCGTATATGAATCGTTTGCTTCTTTTTTTGTCGAACGAATACGATTCGCAGGCAAAAGTGTTCGGCAGAAGGTAATTATATTTTTAACAATAATTTTACGGGCGAGAGCGAGGTTATTTTTTTCCCCTCGCATTAAAAAAATACACGTCCTCGGCGATTCGCGTATACATTCGAATGTTATAATTCGATAATAAAAGAAACAAAGCTCGACCGAAAGAAATCAGCGTGAGTGCGTGCATGTACGTACACGCTGTACAGGACGTAACAATGCTTTTAATAAACATAAGCTTTGAAAAAGAGTGGCGAGCGAGAGCTTTATTTTTCCGCGAGTACACGCGTGGCAGTATGGCCGACAAAAGATGCATATATATACTACCCCCGGCCTATATATACTGTATGTACGGACGGTACGGGCGCAGCGCGGCGAGCGAATAATAAGTCATAAATGGGCTCAAAAATGCTGTATTATACGCGGCTGGAAATGAAAAACGAGCGCCGCAGTACGAGCGAGCCCGGCCGAACTCAACGCACTGTCAAACAATTATCGGGCGCGCGTGCACGAGCTAATTGGCAATGACAAGCCGCGTATTGTTCGCGCGCGGGGGTCTTTGAATCATCGCGCGTTATATAGGCACACAAAAATGCACCCACGTACGTGTATGTATTTTTGTGGCTCGAATGGAATTGCTCGCGAGGACTCGCCTATCTGCGTTCATTCGTGATGGTCGTGCATCCCTCCCCCCTTTTTTCGCGCCTGCACGCGCACGGTATTGTGCGTTGAAAGGACCGAATGAGAATACGAGCGTGTACATTATATAATACCGATGAAAAATCGAGCTTTGTATGCCGTACATGTAGGTGCAGTTATAGCGCAAAGGCCTGAGTAAAAGTGATTCCTTTGTCGCGAGGCGCGTGACGGTGTCGTTACGATTTCGCGTTGCGACCGTAAAAATAGATCCTACAGAGTCGATTATAATCGCCGCACAACGGGGATAAATGACACATTTCGTACCTAACGCGATAATGCTCGAGTTCGAGCCTCGACGTATAGTACGTAATGCAACCGTGTAATTCAGCTTATATTCACACACGGCACAAGCGAATACGCGCAGTACAGTGGCTGCATCAACTTTTTGTTCGTATGCAGCCGGGCTATGTATGCTCTGGCTGGCCAATGTGTCGGGGCTCTGACTTAGCTCTCGAGGGCGCGGCGCTCGGGGGGCCGCTTGGCGGGGTTCGGACATTTTGTGTGACGCGCGCTGCTGCTGTGTGTGTACGCCGCGTAAAATTACCCCGCGCGCAGTCGAAATTACAATACGAGCGAACATCGTGTAGTCGTGTGTGTGTGCTGCACGAACAGCGTCGTGTATAAAGCTCGTGCGTACGTATACGTACACGGGATATAGGTATCGCGCGCGCGCTTAGAGCAACTTTTGGCCTCGGCACAAAACAAAGCTTAGCGTCTCTAACTAGAATGAAATTGAAAATTTACATAGTCATAAACGGGCTACTGCTTATACGAGCTCATGCTGCTGCTGTTGCCGCTGTGTATGTGTGTGTCGGCCTGTACTTTTGGATAAATTTTGCACTCGGGTATTTATAATTGAATGACTGACGTCGGCGTGCTGTCAGAGAGTATAAAGTCTAATGGTTGACCGAAGGCCGAGTCGCATCACTGACTTTTAGCTCCCCCTCGCAAGCTCGCTCAGCTCGCAGCACAAAAAGTATACATTTATTTATGCAGTGCGTTGTATACCTTCTGTATCCCCTCTTTATTTTCTTTCTCATTTTCCTCCTCCTCTTTCTCTTTTTCCTCGAGGAGAGGGCGAGGACTGTAAATGATTGCACCAAGGTAATTGAGCGAAAAGTCCAGAATATAATAAAAATGGTGGTCTGTTAAGTGTGTAAATTTACCGTGAGCAAACGCGCACTACTACTTGTACTCTTACTTTCCTACAACTACATAAAGCTCTGCCGTGGCATGCTGCTGGCATTGCTGCTGCTACACCATGGTCTGCAATACCATTTCTGCTTGAGGTAGTTGCACGATTTTTCTGTCGGTATAGAGATAATTAGCATGAAGAGGAAAGAAGAAAGAGACGAGAAAAAAAAACAGGAGAGAAAGAGGAGAGTAGGAAGACGCGCACGAGGACAAGAAGGTATGACGAGAGTAAGAGAGAGAGAAAGAGTTAGGTGGGTTATGTTTATAAATTCTCGAGCAGCTGAAAAGAGGGAGTTTTTTGCCAGCTAATTATCTGTCCCAACTCTTTGCCACAGCATCAGTAGCAGTAACAGCAGCAGCATCATATAGTAATGCACAGAGAGCAGAGAGTAGCAGAGGCGAGCGAGGAAGAAAGTTCCGGGGCTGCGAATCTAGCGCACACTTTTGCCAAAAGACCGAAAGAGAGAGAGAGAGAGAGAGAGAGAGCGATGAGAATGGAATTTATGTATATCTATAGTAAGCTCGAGCTGCCTACCACTGTGCGCTAGTGCGCACACAGCAGCAGCAGCCCCAGTGAATACGTGTGTTCACGTGCATTATACAAGTCGTGTAGATGAAGTGGAACTCTATATACAGCCGTGTGTAAACGTGTGCGAGCGAGAATGGCTAAGCTCGGGGAAATAGAATTTTGAAACTTTGTTAGCATTGCGCGCGCACACATACAGGCACGTATACTATCTCACACACACGCACGCGTACGTACGTGTTTCGCAGATACGAAGAGAAAGAGAAAGTAGCATCGCGCCTTCCTTGATAGTTGCTAGATTAATTATATCACCGTGCCATCTTTCTGGTACACGCGGGGGCTACAGCTCTAGACGGAAAGAGGGAGAGAGAGGGAGGGAGAGATGGAGCTACTTTTCAGATATATCATTCGCGTTTAAAGTTCCGACGACTTAACGCGCACAAAAAAGTGCGCTGCAGCCAGTACGAAAACACACGTCTACCTGCATCGCGCGCGCGCGCGCGCGTACATAGATATAGGTATCGCTATAAAGCTTGCTATTTTACGTAAATTTAATTATCTTCACGCCACTCGAGGCCGTATACGTATATTATATACATAAGTTTTGTTTTCTGGTTGAGCTTCATAAGCGAGCGAAAATTTCGCAACAGCTGTGGCGTAGCTGGGTCGATGTGTTTTTTTTTTCCCTCACCGCCTCCTCACCCCTTTACTCTCCTTTCCTTTTTCGGGGGGGCCCGGCTTGATATTTATTATATTGATATTTGCAAGTCTGACGGTTGCGTATACGGCGGCAACGTTGCATGGCTGCAGCGTAGTGGCGGCGGCGGCGGCGGAGCAAGGGGTGCAGCAGCGGACTTTATTTATTGCGATCGCTATACGAAACTGCCGCACACTTTGCGACTGCGTATTCAGCTTGTATATATGCAACAACGAGGCGCGCACAAGCACACACACAGACAAACATGGCACCTGGCTACAGTAGAGTGTATAGGGCGCAGCGCAACGAGGGTACACACATACACATATACACGCAGTGGATGCAGCCGCGCATAATTCGTTCTAACTAATGAGATTGAATTCGAGAGAGGTCACGCGCAAACGCTGCTAAATATTTTCCTATTAATGCGCGCTTGAATTAGTATTATATACAGCGAGTCGCGCCACGACAGTGTACTGCTACCGGCGTAAAATATTTCATAATACTGCTGCTACTGCTGGCCCACAAAGACGAATATGCCGCGCGCGCCTGCATACGTTGCGTATTATAATAATGCACGAGGAAATTAGGCGGTATAGGTTATAAGCTTGGAGCTTTCTTTGGCATTCTAGTGTACATATTTGTGTACAGTGCGCCGTATTAATTGAAAAGTCGATCAAAGTCGTGAGGTGCGTTTCGATGAAACTATATGCACTTACCCAAAGGTAGGAGCTAAATTAGATCGACTATGCTTATAGTTTATTATTAATTATTTATTATGAGGCTCTTTTTGATCAATGAATAAATAATTCCACGAAGCACATACACACAGCGATTATAGTAGCAAGAAAAAAAACCAGTCGTTAATAAAGCAGAACCACGATCAATCACGATAAATGACATAAAAGCCGAGGCTCCAAGTGGCCGATCGTATATTACCAAGTCTCGGCTCCGCACACACCGGTGCGTAGAATTAATTATAATCGTTATATAACGCGTCGAGCTTGTCGCAACGTGCGCCCTGTTATACCAATATATTCCAACTGCACACCTTATTATATAGAGGGAGGAGACGCGAAGCCGGCCACTTTTCGATTCGGGGGCGTCTCGAGCTCTCGTCTCGGCTCTCCCCTCGGCGCGTAAAAAATACGTCCTCGTTCCTTTTCGATGCTGCCGCTGCGTACCATTTTTGCGCTATTTTTTTAAATAATATAACGCGAATATGGGTGTCAGGCGCACTGCGCAGCAGCTTGGGGGAAAATTGCGCTTATACAGGTCGCGCAGTCACAAAAAACGCTCACATATTAAAAAAGGAACTCCTCTCCCACCCCCGTTTCTTGTCCCGCCCGACTTTTCTATATACTTGCGCACATACTTTTATCGAGCTGCATATACGAATTCATTTTTCTTCTCCACTGCGTATAATATAAAAGGTATAGCGTACAGGCAGGGGTGAGAAAAAGCTCCTTTTCCTTGCCATTCCATAAATGTCAAGTTTTTCGCCTGACTTTCCATACATATTACCTTATGTTTTGACTGACGTTGCTCATTCGCGCGCGACTTCAATTCGAGCCTTATCTTAATTCAACCTCTCTATATACATAAAAGTCCTCGGCCACCTCAGCTGCCAAACGTAATTTATCCCGTCTTTATCTTTATCGCTCTTTGTTTTACTATACGTATATATGGAGGTAGCTGAATGGAAAAAAAGAACCTTGGCCTCTTGTTTCTTATAATGGACCTTTTATCGTTTGTTTTTTTTCTTCTTCGAATTCGGCTCGAGCGTCGCTTAATCTATATACCATCTGTCTCATTTATGTCTTATAGGCGCGCGCTCGTGTCGTCTACGTAAAGCGCATTATAGATAAACGCGCCAAGTGTCTATTCTCGAAAAATCGTCAGAAATAAAATAAAATAAAATAAAATAAGAAGAAAGGGAAAAAAGAGAAAACCCAGAATTGCTTTATATTTTACGTTACATGTAGAGGCCTTTGACATGATGCGCATTAAAAAAAGAAACGCTACCAAAAGGTCATCTACGAGCTATATTACGATAAGTATTAGATCGCAGCATAGATTTTCGATTTGATGTCTATTATTCAATTTATTTCGCCTTTTTTGTTCGCGAGCGAGATAAATTAAATGGAATTTAGGGGTGTTATTCGATGGTATCCTCGTTTCACGTTTCACGAGTCAGATCGTATAGGGGAATAAAACTAATAGCATACAGAGAATTTTCAAGCTTGTTTACTTTATTTAATATAATACTTCGAAAATATAAAAGTTAAATTTTATTTCAGCACGCTTTGCAGGGGATAGGTGAAAAAAGAAAGATATACATACAAAGCTAGGTGTAGAACGTCTCGGAACGAACGTATATCTATATCTATGATTAGAGAGATAGAGAGAGAGAACAGAAAGAGAGAGAGGAGAAATGGAGAGAGAGAGAGAGAACACTCTGAAACTCTGCAAGTGCTCTCGACCCGGAGAAGTAGCAGCAGCAACTGTGGTAGCAGCGCTGGAAGAGAAGCTGGAGTGTTGCCGAGGAAAGTCAAAGTGTACTATATAATATAGGAAAGCTTACATAGACACACCTACACACGTACAAATGCGTTATATATACACACGCTTTGCTCGTACGTACTCGTGCGCGCGCGCGGGCGCCTCTGCACACGCAAAAGCCAAGTCGTTTTTGAGTGTCTTATTTATTAGAGAGAAACATGCAATCGAAAGTCTTAAGCGAACAATAAACTCTGCGCCCTCTTAAGGGCGAGTCGGCGCATTTCGATGATTTTGCTCGAGAAACATCGCGCAGTTATATCGAGTGTGTGTGTGTCGAGCTAATACAATATAAGCGAGCTTACATGTTCGAGTGAGCGAGCGACGTGTTTTTGCGCGATTGTTTCGGCGCGCTTACAATGCTCGGCGAAGAAAAAGGAGAAGAAGAAGAAGAAAGAATTACGTATCAGCGTAACGACGAGCTCCGCTCTAAAATGCGAGAAATAGATAGAGGAAATTAATTAATGTTCGGAGTTGAAGGCAAGTTTCCTCGTGGGAAAATATCGGAAGGCAAGCGCGTGTGTGACAGTGGCGGCGGCGGCGGTGGCGGCGCTTAGTTAGCGAAAAGTTTAAGCCATCATAAATCTCCTCTTAAGGCCTCGCGCGCGCGCGTGCCACATATAACGACGCGCCAGCGCACGAGAAAAAAGAATAGGTATGATGTATTTAATGATCGGATATCGATCTTTCTGTCCTTTTTTTTCTCCCTTCCTCTCTCCTTCGTACCATGCGTTATTATGTTTTATAGAGACGTGCCGCGCGCTCTATATATATATATCGAGCTCGAGCGGATGTGGTGCCAATGTGCGATAATTTCAATCGTGCCACGAGTCTCGCGTATCACGAATATAGGTACCCGGCAATGGCAGAGCTATACTCTTGCCGGGTCAATTAGCCGAGTTAATTAATTAACGGCCGCTCAATCGAGCCAGGGCTGTATAATAAAAATATGTTCGTTACGCGAAGAAATGATTATTATTTATTCATTTTGTTATACTATATACTTGCCTTCGGTGACGAAAACGAAGATGGAGGCTGGCTTGGTGTTGGACGCGCTGCAGGTATAGTTGCCCGTGTCCGACTCGACGGCTTGGCGTATCGTCAATCGGCTCTGCGTCGGTCCTGGATCGGTCTGTACAGTGACGCTGCCGCGCGTCGTGTCGTAATTTATCATTCGGTTATTGTGATACCAGAACACGTATTGCGGCGGCGTCGGACTCTGCGGACAAAACAAAAGAAGCAATAAGAAAAAAATGAACACACAGTAGACGTATACACACATGGACGTTGCTTTCGCTCTTTTTTATTTGTTTATGCTTTATCTTTTTTCAATTACTTTTGTCATATATAGATAACCAATTTCTCGATTTCTATCTCTAACGCGAATATTGTTCTCGCTCGAGCACACACATTTTGCTCGTCGCAGTTTCATTTTTCCTCTCTCTCTCTCTGTCCCTTTCTCATTCTCTTTCTGTATTTTTTCGTTGTCGACCTCGTCGTTCATGACCTCGCCGTATATGCGTGTATCTATATAGTAGATGGCTAGGTTGTGTTGTAACGAAGCCCTCGTACATGTGTGTGCGGCACGCATCAGAATCATACAGTTCGCTCCCGGAGCTTTCGATACATATGCAGCGCACGAAGCTCCGGAGCTTAATGGCCGAGTCTGGCGTTTTGCGAAAGGATATCTATAGGCTAACGGCATATATAGTTACTGCCTAACACACACACCCACACGTACACATACACATTGGAGTTGCAAGGAAAAGCTCGTTGCAAGCTCGCTCGGGCAAGTCTAGCTGCAGCTAGATATGAATTTAACGATGCTTTGCACACACGGCGCACCGGTATCAAGCTTGCGCACGTGCAATGATTTTCCATCTCGACGCCTTAATTTCTTTATATAAAATATTTTATGCACATATATATTTTTATATTTAAATCGAAAAAAGCTAATGACGTTTGCCCCCGTAAAGTTATGCACACGATACAAGAGTATAAAAAGTATAATACATGCTGGCACGAGCTGCATCTGACCTCGTTCTGCCGAGCTTGAAGAACGAGTGTGACATATCGAGAGAGAGGAAGAAAGAGAGAAAAGAGAGCGCATTGTCGACGGCAGACATCTTCGCAGTCGAGCTTACGCACAGCTCTCAAGCTTCGAGATTATAACGATACCCAACTAGTTGGCTTTGAGCTGTCGAGGATTGCGCGTTTCTTTCGCCCACCCGAAGAATGTTTGCGTACATAAACGTTGTATACGAGCTCAGCTGCATCGCGTACATAATACGCGACGCATTCATGCACACTCACACATCAAAACAGAGACGCATGCATACTCAACAACACAAGAAGCTACGATAGCAGCAGCAGCAGCAAAAACGACGACGACGTCTCTCATCCATCGTTTCTATGGTATCGCGTATCATGCTTCACTGAGCAAGAAGCGTCTTATTGATTTAGCTATTTTTACGTTACCTTAGCGCGTACGTACAGCTCTCTTATTCAGCTAAATGTAAGACGTTTTCCCCTCGAATCGAGAGCTAACGATTTTCCTATGAAAAATATTCGCGGATAATTTACAGGCGAAATGTGCGCGACTCTATAATGAGCGTCGCATTCACGTCGCGTTGCATCCGATCGACGAGTGTAATCTTATATACGTTGATGTGTGCGCGCCAAGACGTCGGTTCGCGTCGACATTGTTATTGTTAGGAGTATAGTGAACGGTACGAGCCGATAGGAGGCGGACTATTGCGTTGATCCCGATTCGCACCGACAGAAATGTAAACAATGAATTATTAAAGATCAGTAAAAATACGTTATCGACATATTTTGATGATCTATTCGGTATAAATATAAGGACGGAGACGAAAGGAGCAGCTATTGTCTTCGAGTCATCGACATGTGGATAAAAATATTTGTTCATCAATAAAGTGAATAATTGTACTTGCTCTTTTCATTATAAGACACCTTGCAGTATTAAATATGTAATACTTGTAACGAGTACTCATCAAACATGAACAGTTCGAAAAAGTTACCAAAATCCACAGGGTGGCTTCGACCAGGCTTCTGGAGCTTGAAGCTCTATATAGATTGATTTAATGAAATATATTTCACAGTAGTCCTCGGTTCAAGAACAATCAAGTATTCAACTGACAATCATTTTGTAGATGAAGCGATGGATATATAATTTTGGGGAAAGTGCTGCCCCACTTACATTTGATGTTCACAAATTTCGAAAACAATTATGAAAGTTTTACTAATTTTGATGAAATTTAAAATACATTTTTTGGTTTCAATTAAATTATTACATGGTTCCTCAGTGGGTTTTTCAGATTGAACATGTTGTTACCAATCTTTATTCAATTATTACCAATTCTCGTAGCAGAAATAATCAGCCTGTCAACAAGTTTATTAACATTTTTCACTAACGCATGTTTGATCCATTCGGGGCAGTGTCTTATTTTGTGAGGTTTATTAAAAATTCAGTACCCAACTAAATGCTCACCTCATCCACAGTTCTAAACAAGTCTTCTTCTGAAATAAATCTAACCTGATCGTTGCATGAAGAGTATTAATTCGTACTAAGCGACATTTGAAAACACCTTCACATCAGTCTGAAAAAGTGTGTAATGATAGTTGAATCTCTGAGATTCAAGTAAAAGACAATCATTTCGGACAATTTTTATTGGAATTTAGGAATACATGAGTATCTATACATATTTACCATTGTCAATCATCATTTCTTCTCGCAATTACGACGTGCATAATCATTAAAATCTTTATGAACTGTTTTTTGGTTCTAGAACTATGCGGTTTTAGTCCAAATTTCTTCTTGATTATTGTTCGATTTATTGCATGTAAAATCTGAGTTCCTTTGGTGTACTTTCTTCAAGTGGGTTAAAAAGTTCGATTTGTTTCCAAATACCTTCTTGCAATTGTCGCATGCGAAATCTTTTCAACCTTTGTGTATTGTCTTTTGATGTCTGAGTAAATGTTGTTTCTGTCCGAATTTCTTTTCGCACTTGCCACATGCGTAATCTTTGCGACCTTCATGAATTGTTTTTTGGTGTATGAGCAAATACGATTTAAACCCAAATTTACTCTCGCATTTGTCACATGCGTAATCTTTGCGACCTTCGTGAACTGTCTTCTGGTGTCCGAGCAAATGAATTTTCAATCCAAATTTTCTTTTGCATTTGTCGCATGCGAAATCTTTCCGACCTTCGTGTATTATCCTTTGGTGTCTGAGTAAATGCGGTTTCTGTCCGAATTTTTTTTCGCACTTGCCACATGCGTAATCTTTGCGACCTTCATGAATTGTTTTTTGGTGTATGAGCAAATACGATTTTAACCCAAATTTACTCTCGCATTTGTCACATGCGTAATCTTTGCGACCTTCGTGAACTGTCTTTTGATGGAAAAGCAAATTCGATTTTTGTGTAAATTTCTTTTGGCATTCGTCACATGCGAAATCTTTGTAACCTTCATGAACGTGTTTTTGGTGTTTGATCAAATTGCCTCGTTCCCCAAATTTCTTTCCGCACTTGTCGCAAGCGTAACCTTTACAACTTTCGTGTACCGTCTTTTGGTGCCTGAGTAAATGTGGTTTCTGTCCGAATTTCTTTCCGCACTTGTCGCAAGCGTAACCTTTACAACTTTCGTGTACCGTCTTTTGGTGCCTGAGTAAATGTGGTTTCTGTCCGAATTTCTTTTCGCACTTGTCACATGCGTAATCTTTGCAACCTTCATGGATTGTTTTTTGATGTATGAGCAAATACGATTTTAACCCAAATTTACTCTCGCATTTGTCACATACGTAATCTTTGTGACCTTCGTGTACTGTCTTTTGGTGTAAAATCAAAGTCGATTTTTGTCCGAATTTTTTTTCGCATTGGTCGCATGCGAAATCTTTACGACCTTCGTGAACGACCTTTTGGTGTCTTAACAAATATCTTTCTTCTGTAAATTTCTTCTTGCATTTTTGGCAAATGAAACTTTTGTGACCTCCTTGTACTTTATTATAGTATTTGATCAAATCTGATTTTACTCCAAATTTTTTCTCGCGCACATAATGGATGAAACCTTTACGATCTTCGTGCACTGTCTTTATGTGCCAAAGCAAACTATGTTTTGTATCGAATCTCTTCGCGCACTTTTCACATAAGTGATTTTTGAAAACTTCGTGGAATATTTTTTTGTGCTTGAGTAAAGTTGATTTATTTTCAAATTTCCTCTCGCACTTGTTACATGTGTATTCTTTGCAATTTTTATGTACTAATTTTTGGTGCGTCAACAAACTCAATTTTTTCTCAAATTTTTTTTGGCATCCGTCACATGCAAAATCGTTGCCGCCTTTGTGTTCTGATATTTGGTGTCTGCTCAAATGACTTCGAAACTCAAATTTTTTTTCGCACTTGTTACATGCGAAATTTTTTTGTCCATTGTGAGTTGTATCTCGGTGGGTCATCATGCTTGATTCTAGTGTAAATGCCTCTTGACAAATATCACAAAAATATTTTTTGTCATCTGAAACAACAATGTCGTGTTCACTTAAATTATCTTTCGAGATAACTTCGTCGCATTTATTCTCATTTTTATTCATTTTGGTGCCTTAATCAAATGATGGATCCTTCTATTTAGTACCACGAAAATTGAAGGAGTAAAATTTATCTTCTGGTGTTATGGCTTGTTGTAAAGACAACATTCAAACTAATTTGAATTTACTTTAAATACGATCAGTGCGTGTCGAGGAAATATGTCAAAATCGTTCATGATCGTATTGTTTACAATTAAGACACCTCATTTATCTGTTTATAAATTATTCTTACAACAAATTAATTTAAAATTTTAACTTGGCAATGATTCCTTTGAGGGATTTTTGGCATTTCGAAACTAAGTACTTCCAAACAAACCCTGGACGGAAAACATCGAGTTCAATATAATAAATAACTTTGATATTCATTGCAAAATTTGCCGCCCCCACACCATGGCGTGATTGGCATGCTCCATAACCCGTCACTGCTCGCGGATGATGCAAGTTCAGATAGTATCTGACACCAATTCGGTCTCGCACAGTTCAAAAGGGATCTTTGAATTTCATCGTGCTTCGATGCAATATTTGTATATTTAGTTAAAATTTGATTTTCTGACCAATCACGCGTTTGACGTGATTCAGCCCACACGTATCGATATATGTATGTGCGACTGCAAAACGAGCGCGTAAAGAGCGAACGACTCGCGCGGCGTTCGACACAATGCGCGTATCCACGTACACGTATTCGATGGAGCTTTCAACAAACGAACGAGAAAAAAATGTCCCGGACGGCCCGAACGTATGGTAGTGAAGTGCGCCGAGGAGAAAAAAGAGTATCGAAATATTTCCTGCTACTGCATAGGAGGTTTTGACGTATCGCATGGACACGTCGCGGCCACACAACGTATCAAGTCCGAAACTGTACGTACACGCATACAACACGTATACACGCACGAGCGATAGCTGAGAAAGGAGCCAATAGCCAACTATGCGAAAAGCGTGTATATAATTCAAAAAAAAAAAAAGGAAAAAAAATTCATGTCTCTTGTGCTACGAAGTGCACGCCCGGTCATAACTTCATAAGGTATCAGAGGCAGAGTAATGGTGCAGTGCACTCGCAAACGAGAGGCGAATTTCGCTGTATACGACCCACGTACACGACCACGTAACTACTATTACTTCACTTCGTCCTTCAAAAATGCGTACATACACACCTCTACGTGGTATATAAATAAATACACGAGCGAAAAGTGCCCAGCCCATAGCTAGCTGTAGCTGCTAGTCCGGTCACCACCGCTCGCTGTGCGCAAATAATAAAATAAATTGCAATTTTTTTACGCGGCGCAAAACGAGTGGTATAAGTTGCCGAGCGCGCGCGCGTCGACTCTACTCTCGCTACTCGCCTCTGCGTTGCGAGAGTACATGACGCTTGCGCACACAGCCACCCACCGCCGTCGCTGCCACCTGCATCAAGAGCGTATGCTAACTTTTTTTCATTTTTTTTTTTTCGATTACTTATACGTACTCGTGCGCGCAAACGTGCGTACTTGAAACGAGCTTTTTTTTCGATTTATACATAACGTAGGCGTACGCATTTAACGAGGTAAAAAAGAGCAGAACCAATCGAATAGCTTTTTGTGAAACTTAATATTAACGCGTGGCGTGATTTAATTTTTATCGAGGGGAGGCTGTGGAGAGGCGAGGGGGAGGCAAAGATAGTATCAATTTTCGATTGGCGAATATGTCAGCGTGTGTCCGACACGCGCATAAGTAGAATAAAATTCGTGAAAAAGTATAATCACTAACGCGGCGTGTGATATATTTCTCCTTTCGTTGTACAAAAGCACGTACACACGCGTATAAATATTTGTCCGCGTTACACCCAGGCACTCGAAAGTACATCGCGCAATCGAATCTGAATTTTTTTCTTCAGTTTTCGAGCGACCCGATGCTTTATTTTTGAGTCGACTTCGAAAGCTCTCCTGCACTCGACGTATATATACAGCCGAGTCACATATTATTATATCGATCTTAAAGTAACGCTAACAAGCGCCTACATGCCAGCCAGCGAATAAGAGCAATTGTAAAGTAAGTTTGTTTTGATCGTATACACGCAGTATAATCATGACAGCTGAACGAATGGCAAGATATGCTTGTAGCGCAACTAGTTGAGGCTCGTTCTCTGACTCGTTCTCTCTCGGCGTTTCTCGTCGAGTGCTTAGAATTTTCCGCAAACTTCCTCGAGAGAATATTAATTAAAAACTTACATTGCGGCCTTGCGCGCGCGCTTATATAATTGATACACTTGGTCCGTGTGCAAGCTAGCTGCGCGTTTTTGTCAAAAGGATTTTTATTTCTCTTTCTCTCTCTCTCTCTCTCGAGCAGCAGTATCTCTTTCCTCGCGGGCAAACGAGAGATATGAAAGAAAATCATCCCGCTGTTCAAGCCGAGCTTGAGATTCAAGCGAAGTCGAATCGAGCGTTGCTGCTGCGGCGATAAAATAAACAGCCGCGCAGGCGAGATCGATATCTGCCGCGCTTCGCAACGATATCGAAACTAATGAATTATACTCGAGCGGAGAAGCCCGCAAAATTGCGAGGCAGAGTCGAAAGTTTCTATGAAATTATAATGCACGCTAGGAGGAGGCGATATTCATCGTGGCGTGGGATTCGAAATATCTTTATTAATGGCAATTAATGCTCGCAGCTGAATACAGAGAGAGCGGCTTGGTTCGTTCTCTCTCGGCGCGCCTCTACACTGCACGCAGACTTTCATCGATGAATAACTAATGACGATGTTTCCGTCGTGAATGGCTCTTAGCATAAGAGAGAGGTGCGTGTAGAATATAGCCGCTAAAGAGAATGCAGAAAATAATTAATGCGCTAACACAAAGTTTTGGCGACCCCGAGTCATGTTATATTGGACCCTTGTCGATACGAGCTTGCGCGCAAAAAAAGAAAGCTCCAGTCGCACTCGAAAGCTCGGTGTAATCGAACCACGAATTGGCACGAGTCACACGCGTTCACGAGTCGTTTGGGCCAAGATGCGTCTGTTGTTGTGCTACTCGTCGTTCGAGTCCTCGAGCGCAAAAAATTTACCCGTTTCGCCGCGTCGTGTATACAGCATTCCCAACTCATCGACGGCTGTATCCAATGTACCATATTACAGTATATACATTCGAACACGACTGTTCGCGCGCTCGCGAAAGAGAGAGAAAGAGAGAAATAGCGAGAGGGAGTGAGAGAGACTGAATCGTACTTGAGCATTGTTTCTCCGCGAGCAACAAGTATTGCGCGAACTGCGGAAGTTTTGAGCGCAGCAGTGGTATAGCAGCAGTCCCCGGCAGCAGCTCTCACGCAGGCACTGCTACTAGGCAGGAGGCAGCCAGTAGCAATAAGTTCGCAAACGACGATGACGACGCTCGACTGTGTGTATATGCGCGTACGCTACAGCACATAAGGCGAGAGGAGCGCAAACCTGTGCAAGCTGTAATGCATAAAGCATGTGTGCGCGACGTATACACACGCCTTTGCCGAGCGTATTGTCTAATAATTCATGCCAGCGCACGCGGCGCGCTCTCACACGTACATACGTATATAACAACGCGAGTCGTGCTTGTTGGGAGATGGAGAAAGCTGAAATTATCCTCCGCTTCCGATACATCCGCGATCTAGTCGTAGATTGCGCACAGCCGAGCAATGATAATTCGCACGCTGTAACGGGATTTGTAATGATAGAGAGCGCGCTTCATGAAACCCTCCGGCAGCGCACAGGAGTCGCCAATTGCAATTAGACCGTCTTGCCATCGCACCGAGTGTCTCGTTCAATTTAAATGTCGATTCCTTACTCGCTTTCATTATGGATCTCTATAAGAAATTACAATTTAGAACTTATTATGCGTAAACGATAGCTGTTTTGTTATAGCTCAAACTGTCATTTCTACTGCGAATGATGAAGGTTTCATTGAGCAATTGAACAAATTTCTATTAGTTTCAAATTGGGAATTAGAATGAAATACGCACATTTGCTCGCGTTATTTTCGAAGACTGATTTCTCATTATCTAGTAGTCAATTACTGCGTGTCATTTTCGCAAAATTTGAAACGCGCACTCATTGATCGCGCCAACCGTTGTAAACTTTTAGCATTTCTATCAGAGATATATAGGCGGCAATTTTGTTTGATGTCATAGAGAAGAGAGAAGAGAGAAGAGAGATGAGTGATCGAGCTCGGGCCAATATAATTATCGGTTCTTTTGAGAGGAAGTATAATACGCTCGAGTTGCGTCAGAACTGTCGTTCCTGTAGTCTGCATCGCACAGCAGCTGCGCAGACCAGTCGCCGTCATCTCGTACGTCGAGCCAGCCAAACAGTAATAGTGCAGGCCGTGAATAAAAGTTTAGCCTTTTATGTATGCACAGTGTCCCGGATTTGGAATTAGGCTAGATCATTTCTCTTTTGATCATGCGACCGGCGCGCGACGGGGGGTCGGCTGCGCTAAATAATAAAAGCTCGCGCGCAATTTCGATATACGCTACATGCGACATCGTAAGCTGCAAAAAGCATCGTCGTTGCGCGCTGAGCTGACTCGACTTACACGCGACTAAAATATGTACATTATGCGCCTAGGCTAGACGCTGCCACTGCTGCAGTTGGGAGGCATAATTAAAAAATGTTAATCATAGCGTGAGTGTGTGCACATTTACCTTTTCTATAATACACACGAGATTGATAATGGAGCCGACGTCGACGTGGTGTTCCTCGCCTCCCAGTATGAAAGCTTCCGGCGTCACTATGTTTAGATTCACAAAATGCGACAGTATGCCCGTACTTCTGGATATCTGTAACAACATAAAGAGCAGAAAATTTTAGTTCATTTCATCTGAAATTAATGAAAAAAATAGTTTTCTTTCAGTGCGGATAGTTGATTAAAAAATCAAAGTGAACACTGAGTCTTATATATACGTCACGTAAATTTAATTAATTTTGGGGCAACGAAAAAACTTCGGTATTAATAATATGAAAATCTTCAAAATCAAAGTTGCAAGACGAAATAGTATACTTTTGGAGAGAGGGAGGGAGAAAAAAAAGAAGGTAAAATGTCCTGAAAAACCTCCATGAGATGCATGTAAGTATAAACGCAAAGCGGGCGAAAGCACAACCCCACGATAAGATCGTTTTTTCCTGCTGAGCTTTGCGAGCCTCGGTGCTTTAATGGCTGCTTGCATTTTTAAAGAGCCGTGCGATCCCTATCGTGTGCGCCACAGAGCCCAGTACTCGAGCTTTCAGAAAAGTAGACATGGTCCGATGATTTATATTTTAATTAAGAACTTTTCGCTTCGAACAATGCGCCCCGGTGGTGGTGGTGGTCGTAGGGAGCTAACGTAGTTCCGTCGCGAGGGCCCATACGTACGCGTTGAATCAATCCCATGTATGTTTTTCTCGACTTTATATACGCGCTTACTCGTACAATCCGGATATCCCTCGGCAGTGCACTCGTATTCGTATATAGAGCTTGCGAGATATGTGTGTGTATGTGTGTGAATGTACATGTGTGCACGCGTACATACGTAGATCAGCTTTTCGCACAAAGAAAACGAATACGAAAAAGCTTTGGAAGCGAATTCATCGATGCAAGCTTATACAAGCTTTAACACCAAAGTCAAGGTATTTTCTTGTACAAAGAGTCGCCGATAACGAAGCATTCACTTCTCTCTTTCTCTTGATTTCTACCTGGCTCGGGCTTTTCCCTCTTGCCTGGCTCTTCAAATCGAGAAAAAGCGAAAGAGAGTGAGAGAGATCCGAGCAGCAAGCGCAGGAGCAGAGTGAGAGAGAGGCTAAGTTCGAAAATATCAAAGAAGAGAAAAAGCTTGAGAGAGTTTACTCAAAGGAAAAGCCACTAGCTTCGGTACACTCGATGCTTATTACCGGCTTCGACTACTTAAACCGCAAAATAAACGATACATCTGAGCTATTGCTACAAGAACGAGAGAAAGAGAGATAGACGACGTATAAACAAATTTACATTTTGATCGATATACGAAGGCTGGTGCTCGCTTTACTTTTTTTTCTCGTTGCATTGACGATGATGCTTCTACTTCTTTTCTCGAGGGAAACGAGCGGACATAGCAAAAAAGGAGGATTAAAGGCAATGAAAACTTATTTTTTGGGTCGACGCTGATTTTTGAATTTTCTTGTAAAGTAAAAGAGTAATGCTATAAAATTCAAAAGCTCTGCGTGCAGATACATTTATACCTTCAAAATGCTTTACTGCAGTTGCATGAAAACGTATTAAAAAAACAATCAGCCTTGATGAATTGAAACACTTTCGGTATGACTTGTTGAATTTTCATATCCCAGTTGTTCTCTTTTTTTGCAAACAAGGTAGTTTATAAGCTCACCAGCAGTAAAGCTTTATGTCATCTTTTTTCATTGCGACATGCATAAAATTTTATGACATTAAAAGAACGTACATAAATAATTAAATGTTTTTCATGAAATGGAAAAAGGTTAATTATCGAATAAAAAAATGTAGCATTGGCGAACGCAAAAGAAACATTTTTCAAAATACATATTCATTCATCCATCGGTTTCATTAAAAACCAGGTTTATATGCGCGTCGTATAATCTTGTTCAGGGTTTTCCTCGATTTTCGTATAAAATAACGATGTTACTTTTACTGCTAGTATCAGTTTAACAATTTTTTCGGTACTAATGCCTCGTACCCTCCTCCATAAAACTACCCAAATTTTGTTTCCCGAGCGCTTTTCGTGAAAAAATTGAAAATGATCGTCGTTTTTTCGTTTCGCTATTCGTACGGCAAAAAAATCTTGTTGCCGCAAAAGATGTCTCTTTTCTTGAAACGTTTACTTTTTCGATACATGTAGCGGCGCGCAAGTCACAAAGCCTTTTAAGAGTTCGGTCGAGTACGGCAGGATGACTTTTCCGCATTTTCGGGCTTTAGGAACCGTTCATTCGTGATTTTTATCGTTATTGTAGTCCTTTATTCGAATGATCGAATAATCGCTTGGATGAAATTGAAAGTTTCATTGCTCGGCAAAAGTGCAACCTCCAGCGAGTCTTTATTAATATTGCAGTAGGGTCGGAAATGGAAAAAAAGGGTAAAGAGAAGACAACGCCAGAGTCGAGGAATATGGAATATTCCTCCTCGTTGCGCTAGCCGAACGTTATGCAAACAGCATTTTCTTTTTCCTTCTTATTTCGCGATAACGGATTGTTTACACAAGATTATTATTAAAAGTCTTTGTCCTGATTTTATTAAGAAGACGTCGTCGACGAGCTTCGAGCGAAGGTATATACGCATAAGGAAATTCGTCGAACGTTGAGCAAAAAAAAAAAAAGAAAAGAAAAGGAATAGAAAAATCGACACTGATGACACAAGCGAGAAGGTCGTTGAAGATGACGAGCGTTGCAAGAGTTAAACGAAGCTGCAGCAGTATAGTAGCGCGACAACGAGGGCGTACGGTATAGTACAGGGCGTCCGAGCGGCGCGCGGCGCAAAGAAAGAAACCGAGATTTCGCGTTGAAGCGGAAATAAAAGGCAGGCGGATTCCGTCTTGAGGCGTACTTAGACTATTAGTAATTAAAAGAAGGAGATAGGAAAAGCAGCGCTCGGGTGCAGTGCAGTGTGCCGACGACGACGACGACGACGACGCCGACACTGCGCAGTGCTATGTGTTGACTATTGAAAGAAAGAGAAAAAGGAGACGAAGAGGAAGTAGATAAGAAGACGAAGAAGACGAAGAGAAGCGACTGCACTTTATATATATAGAAAGAGAGAGAGAGAGACTTGGGTTTATTATATGTATGTATATCTAGCTCTTTCCCCGGTATTAATGGAGAAAAAATAAGTATATAGCCGTATGAAAAAAGGGCAAAGAAAAAGAGAGCCCCTCGCACTTTTTCTGTTAGAAAATGAGTTTTCGATGAAAAAGACTTATCGATCCGAGCGATTAAGGACGGCTGGGTTCTCGGTTCTCTCTCTCTCTCTCTCTATACGCTGCACCGCTGTAGGAGCTGTGCTCTATATATGCGCACCCTTTCCATTATGTATACACACGCATGCGGATATTTCTTTTTCCCGGTATAAAACGCATACACACACACGACTACACGTATACGTAATGTATAAACGAGCTGAGCTGCACCTCTGCCGTACGTGCACGGCATCGTCGTCGCGTGTGTGTAAGTCTTGTATAGGTCAAGTATAACTCTTAAATCGAGTTTTCGAAACTCGCGAGCAACGACGACGACGACGATGATAATGACGATGGAAGCTAGCGTGGGGGTTGCGCTGCTGCACGTCTTTCGTCGCACGCATATTGCAATTTAAAAATCCTGCACTGCTGCTGCTGCTGCTGCTGCTACGTGTCAAAGTCCTTAATCGCAAATTTACCACGCTCTCGCGAAGAGGTGATGAATTTAGTGAAATGTAGGGATTTCAATACACGTCATCGGTTGGACGTATTGCACCTCGCTCGGCACTACCAACGTGTTATTCGAGCTCGAGCCGTTTAACTTTTAAACGTTATGTATTTTCGCTCGGGCTTTTTCGCGCTCCCTTTAAGATAACACCTCGGCGGCGGCGGCGTTCGCTTCGTGCATAAAATAACGATCTTTGCGCGCCGCTCGCGCAGATGAAAGTTTCGCGCGGCGAGGGTGAGCCAGCAGCCGAGATAGGGAATTGCTAGGCAGCAGCAGCAGCTTCTTCTTCGCCTTCCGGTTATATTCCGATGCTGTGCTTTTATTTCGCGTCCACTATTACGATGTTTTTTCGGGCTTGTTTTTCCTCGTTAACTTTCGCCGCCACGGCTTCGAGGCGCATATAACTGATGGGCCGTGTAAACGATGCCTCGTATATACACAACAATTACCTTCAAATGAGCTCTATGTTGGCTTTCGGCTATATACAGTAAATATATATTATTATTAATATACTGGCCACGGCTGTGTACGTAAATATACTTTGTGCAGTACACGGCATCCGGTTATGCAGGAAGTAGTGGGGGTGAGGCGAGATTCAATGGCTTTATATGCGTATTTACGAGGATGACAAGATAACTTTTATGACTTTAATCTTATTACCTCGCGCGCTACGTATGTAATATTGAAAAAGTTATGGATTTTGCGTATTAATATTTTACGACGGCTGTCCGAAGTTTGGCGTTAAACTCGCGGCCGCCCGGTGTACGTTACACAGGGTAATGACTTTTTCCAAGTTGATATAAACTTTTTTTTTTTTTGTTAAACTTGCACTATTTCCGCCCAGGCAGGCGGGCGGACGGGCGCAAAAGCACAAAACTCTTTCGCTCTCGTTTTGATGAATTTCGATATTACACCGGCGTCCCTTCGGCGATGGCAGGCACGACGTCAATGTCGGCTGAGAAACGTACGTACGTACGGGGAGTCGGGGCTTGGTAACGGCATATATTATTCAAGGAGCGCGCGAGGATATTCTTACACACGCGTTGTACGAACGGGCGGAAATGGCAGCCGCGTATATATATCTATAGAGGGTATTGCGAGGCACACACACACGAGCACAGTTGCAATAAGAGCAATATTCGCGATGACAAGGCTGCACGTCGAGCAACACACATGCAGCCCCTCGCATAGCTTTGAATGACGAGTAAATTTGCGGCAAATCCTTTCTCCGACATTTTATCGCCATCAGTCGCGTGAGCGAGAGCTCGAGCTATATGGTATGTATGTGCGCGAGGAAAGGGAGAGAACGAGAGAACGAGAGGGAGAGAAGAATAAAAAGAGAGCGAAAAAAAGAGAGAGAAGAGAGGAAAAAAATCGAGCGAGCATCTGTATCGCT